TATCCTCACTTATGGTCTTTCCTTTCCACTCAAAGAATCCCCTTTAATATTTCTTGTAGGGCTGACTTAGTGGTCATGAACTCCTTTAGCTTTTGTTTGTCTGAGAAACTTTTTATCTCTCCTCTTCTGAATTATAGCCCTGTTAGATAGAAGATTCTTGTCTATAGATTTTTCCCTTTCAACACTTTGAATATCATGCTATTCCCTTCTGGATTGCAAAGTTTGTACTGAAAACTGCTGATTGCCTTAGGGAGTTTCTCTCACATGTAACTGTCTTTTCTCTTGCTACTTTAAACATTTTTTTTCCTTGGGGGCACCTGGGTGGCACAGTCAGTTGGGCATCCGACTCTTGGTTTTGGCTCAGGTCATCATCTCAGGATCATGAGATCAAGCCCTACATCAAGTTCTGTGCTGAATGTAGAGTCTGCTAAAGTTTTTCTTTCCCTCTCCCCTCCCACTTCTCTCTCTCTCAAATAAATAAATATTTTTAAAAGTTTTTTTCTTGAACACTCCTTTTTGCCACTTTGATTACTATGTGTGTCTTAGTGTAGACCTTTGGTTGATTTTGTTGGGGTATTTCAGTGCCTCCTGGATCTAGGTATCTGTTTCCTTCCCAGATTAGGGAAGTTTTCAGCTACTGTTTCTTCAAATAAATTTTCCTCCTTTTTCCCTTTCTTCTCCTTCTGGAACCCCTATAATGCTAATGTTATTATACCTGAAAGCATCATTGAGTTCCCTTAAGTCTATTGTCAGTTTGTGTCATTCTATTTTTCTCACATTTGTTCAGCTTGATTACTTTCCATTACTTTGTCTTCTAGTTCATAAATTTGTTCCACTGCTTCTTCCCCCTGCTATTTATTCTATCAGGTTTATTTTTTATTTCATTTATTGCATTTTTCATCTCTGATTGGTTCTTTTTTATGTTTTCTATCTCTTTCTTAAGGGTCTCACTGATGTCCTCCTCTTTTTTCTTGAGTATCTTTATGATCATTACTTTAAATTTGCAAACAGCCATGTTACTCATTTCCATTTCACTTGGGTCTCTTGCTGTGGTTTTGTCCTGTTCTTTCATTTGTGATGTATTCTTCTGTCCCATCATTTTACCTATTTATGCCTGTTTCTGTGTATTAGGAAAGTCAGCTACATCTCTTGCTCTTGAAAGTAGTGGGTGGGGGATGCCTGGGTGGCTGAGCAGTTGAGTGTCTGTGTTCAGCTCAGGGCATTGATCCCGTGGTCCCAGGATTGAGTCCCATATCAGGCTCCCTGCATGGAGCCTGCTTCTCCCTCTGCCTCTGCCTCTGTGTGTGTGTGTGTATCTCATGAATAAATAAATAAAATATTTTTTAAAAAGTGGTGGGATGTGCACTTTTAACTAGGTGGCACGGGTCCTTCTCCACAGGATACATGCAGCTGCTGCAGAGGCCAGAGGATGTGGGCACTCTGGGCAGCACACAAGGGCAGGGTATGCAATTTTAACAAAGTGTGTGCATCCTCCATGAGAGGTTGGTAGATGCAGTGTTGGCAGATTGCCTGGGTCTTCTGGGAGAGGATATCTGCAGCACCAGGACTGAGGCAGGGCTGGTTGGCAGTGGCAGGGCACAGTGTAAGCATGTTAGGGAGTAAGTGACACACTGCACTTGTTCCCACAGGTGGCTGTGTGTTTATGAGGGCTAGGAGAGGGAAATGGCACCTTCTAGCTCCTTTGTTCCTGGAGAAGTCCCTCAGCAAACTCTGAGATTAGTTATTAACTCTCCTTCCCATAAGCTACAGGTGCCTGTCAAACTTTGCTTCCAGGTTGTATCTCTGCAAGCTGTTTGCTGTGCTGTCTTTTTAAGGGCAGAGGCTCAGCTTCCTATCACTAGCTGAGCTCTCTCAGAGCCAACACCACTGTTTTTTAAAGTTCCAGGCTTTAAGTCCCACTGGTTATAAACACTCATGAAATTTGGCCCCTGTGATTTTCAAAGCCAGTGCTACAGGATTTTCTCTTTCCCTTTTAAGCTCCCCCAGTATGTTTCTTGCCACTCTTCTTGCCTATGGTTCCTTCCCTCCAGTGGTCACACCCATGGGGTTTAGGTTCCCACTGCATCCTCCCCCTTTCTACTCTCTCCAATGTGGCCTCTTCTCTATATTTAGGCATGGAGTTTTTTTGGCCAATCTTGGGTCCTTTTCTGGGTTTTTGCTCTGATGCAAGTATTATTTAGTTGTGTCTGTGGGAAAGGATGAATGTAGGGTCCTCTTATTGCACCATCTTCCCCATAAGTCAGAATCAAGAATTTTTAATGTGTATTCTTTATATAGTTTTATTTTTGAACTATGTTTTTATATTACATAATCAAAATGTAATACAATACAATAAAGATTTAAAAGCTACACACAGACAAAAATTTCACCAGTGACAGAATCAGGATTAGAGGAGAAACTCTATACACAAAGCTCCTTCACAGAAGCCCAGAAACATCAAGAGGTTTCTGAATGAAGGGCAAAAGTTGACTCTGCCTATTCACTTATATTTTGAGGAACAGCCTGAAGAATTATATTCTGAATTATATGGCATCTCTTCTGTCCCAGTATCTTTGTTGTTGTTTTTTGCTTTATTGATAGATAATTCATAATTGATACCCTACATAACATATTTGTATACTTTTGAAACCATCACTACAGTTATGATAATGTACATATCCATCACTCACTGAAGTTTACATATACCCTTTTATAATCTCTCTTCCTACTCCCCTCCCTATCCTCAAGAAGTCTCTAATCTTCTGTCTTTAGAGATTATTTTTCATTTTTAAAGAATATTGTAGCACATATCAATAGTTAATTACTTTTTACTGCTGAGTAGTATTCTATTCTATGGATATAGCCACAGTTTGTTTATCTGTTCACTTTTTGATGGACAAGTGGGTGGTCAATTTTTGTCTATTACAAATAAAGCTCTATGAACATTTGTGTATAAGTCTTTGAATAATCATAGGCATTTATTATTTTGGGTAAATGCTGAAAATGAAAGGGCTATGTCATATGATAGATACATGTCTAAGTTTTTAAGGAATCACTAATCTTGTTTTCCAAAGTGTCTGTACCATTTTACATTCCACCAGCAATGTGTTGAGGGTTCCAATTTGTCCATGTCCTTGTTAACACTTATCATTGTCTGTTGGAAGAACTCCTTTTAATATTTCTCATAGTGTGGATTTGCTGGACATGTGTTAGTTAAGCTCTTGTAAGTCTGAAAAAATATTTCACCCATTTTTTGAAAGGTATTTTCACCGGGTATAGAATTCTAGGTTGATGGGGATTTTTTCTCTTCCATTAAAGTTGTTCCATTGTCTTCTAGCTTGAGCATTTCCAACAAGAAATCTACTTTCATCTTTATCTTTGTTTCTTTATATGTGTCTTTTCCCCATCCTTATTGCTCTTATTGTTTTTTTTTATTTATCACTGGTTTTGGGTACTCTGATTATGATGTCCCTTGGTCTAGTTTTCTTCATTTTTCTTGTGCTTGCAGCTCATTGAGATTCTGGATCTATAGGAGTTTGGGTTATATTAAATTTAGAAAATGTTCTTCCATTATTTTTCCAAGTAATTTTTTCTCTCTTCCTCCTCATCTGTCCAATTACATATTAGGCTGCTTGAAATTGTCCTACACTGATCCTGTGTTCATTGTTTCTTTTTTTCTCCCTGTGTTTCATTTTGGATAGTTTTATTGCTGAGTTTTCAGGTGTACATACTTTTTTCAATGTCTCTACTTGTTCAGTCATTTTTCTAAGTTCTTGAATATAATTATAACTTTTAATGTTTTTTTAATTTACTAATTGTGTCATCTGTACTATCTGAGTTGGGACTGATTTTTCTCTTCATTGTGGATCATATTTTTCTTTGCATAACTGGTTGAGTGGGTGCCATACATTGTGAATTTAACCTTGTTGGATGCTGGATTTTTTAATATACTTCTACATAAGTATTCTTGAGCATAGTTCTGGGATGCAGTTAGCTTGATTTTTCAGGTTTTGTTTTTAAACTTTGTTGGATGGGACCACAGCAGTGTTTAGTCTAGAGCTGGTGTTGCTCTATTTCTGAGGCAAACTTCTGTGTACTGTACCTAATATCCTGTGAATGATAAAGTTTGACACTCTGGCTAGTGGGAATAGGAACTATTGCCAGCCCTGTGTGATATTTGGGATTGTTCCTTCTAATCTTTTCAGGTGGTTCTTTCCCTGGTTTCAGATAGTTTCTTCACGATGTACTTATTAGTACTTAGTACTCAGATAAAGACTTGTAGGGAATCCTGGTACAGATCTCTAGAATTATCTCTCTGTATACTTCTCTCCAATATCCACAATGCCCTGTGAACTGTAGCTACCTTGACCTCCTCAGATTCTAGCTCTGTTTCCCCAACTTGAGAAGTCCTCTGGGCTATACCTGAGTTTCCCCTCTCCCAGATGTCCTGGAAACTCTTCTATGCAGTAAGCTAGGGTATCAGAGGGTTGACCTCGTTTGTTTCCATCTCTCAGATAACATTGTCCTTCATTACCTGATGTCCAATATCTTTAAAACTGTTACTTTGTGTTTTTTCTAGTTTCTTCATTGTTATGGGAATTATGGTAAATTGACTACCTGTTAAGCCATGTTGTCAAAAAGTATATATCTCTGCCATTCTTTTAAAACTATCTTCCCTTTGTTTTTAGCTTAGATTGGGTAACTTAATTAAGGACAGACTTTATTTGGATATAGTCCTTTTTCCCCTGGCAAGGAAATCAGTTTTTTATATTAGCAGTTAGAAATGCCCTGGGGTAAGAAAAACAGGAGATAGAATAAAAGTGTATGGCAAAGCCCAAGTCGGGTAAAATATTGTCTACTCACTTAGCCTTGATTATACATTGAGGAGGTGGTATAGTCACTGTGGCAGGAGTTTCTGAATATAACCATTTGGTCTCTGTCATCAAGACCTAGCTGTTTATTAGAAGAACAGTTTAAAGAGAGGAATCTTAGAAGCCCAGGATCTCTTGCTTCTAACCCCATACAACCCCGGTCTTGTTTGAATGTTTCTGGGTATGCGTAAGACAGAAGAAAATCTAAGAAATTAGGCTCACCTAATATTTTTGCAATAATAAGATTGGCTTGCTGCATAAAGCAATGTGAGGATTCCAGCCCCCACCCTTTACATAGTTTTCCATTTGAGTTTGGCTATTCACCACTTGTCTCCTTTTTTTCTGGATAGGTCTATCTGCTGGTCGAATTTCTCAGGTTATTGTTGGAGATGAGCAGCGACAGTACCTCTTGGTGATTGGGCGGGATGTAAATGATGTCCAGTTAGCTCAGCGTTTAGCTCAGGCAAATGAGATTGTCTTGTCCTGGAACTGCTGGAAGCTCTGTGAGCAGTACATGTTTGAAGTGGAAATCATGAAGGAGGATGAAGCTGTGAAGGTAGGAGGCTAGTCCTACCCATCACATGTCCTAAAAAGGCCTTTCTACTACACAGGCAGTGTTCTGGTGGTGGTTGCATATGGCTTGACCAAACCAACAACTATTGGAACTCTATTTTGGAGGGAGGTGGGGGATATTCTCCCAGGAAGTTAGACGAGGCAGAACAATGAGGCTGGAAAGATAAATGATAAACAAGGGAAATGGCATCCTCAGCCCCTCTGTTAAGGGACCAACAGTAAACTGGTTGGTGGGTGGGTACACAATTGAGCAGTTTTCTTTCTATAGTTAAGAGATATGCGGATCATTGACCCATTTGATTTTGATGAGCATTTTGACAAGTGCCTTGATTACCTGCCACATTACCGGACAAGTGCTGGTAAGTTACTTGGTCCTTTCTACCTAAGCCCAAAATTTCAAAGATAAAATTTCCACATGACTGGAGACATTTTGTTTGTTTTCCTTTTCTCAGATACTCTAAGAACTGCCCTGGAGTTGGATCCAGACTTTGCGCTTGAACAAACCCTGAGGAAGCACATAATGAAAAACCTTTTGAAGAAGGTTATTCCTAATTCTTGAGTCACCGTGTAGACTGTGTGTATGTTTATGTTGACAGGTGTACATTTATACGTGATCACCTTTTCATACTGATCGAGGTCATCTCCTGCTCTCCATTGTAATGCCAGCAGGTTTCCCCATTTGTACCAATTACTGTGATAACATATCATAACCTCAGATTTCTCAGTTCTTGCAAGTGAAAGCTATATTGTTTTTTCAATTTGTCCCTCAAGAAGCTGGTACATTGTAAACAGGGAAGAGAGTATATGTTTGGTAAATATGTGTTGATCTATTATGTATATATGAATTTATAAGAATCCTTTAATAAGTGATACAATGACTAATAGAATGAACATATCTAACTTATAAAGAGAAAACCTAAAAGCCTGGCAAATTTCATCAGTGAATTAGGTTGAAAGTCAAACAGTTTTAATTCCAAGTGCACTGGTTTGTACATCTTCTATACTTTTCAAACCTGAATTGTAGGTTTTTAGTCTGACATCTGTAAGTTATTTTGTCATACTCACCATGGAATACAAAATTTAAATGGCTAAACATGATATTGAATGTTGAAGATATAGGCAAGATAACTGTGTTTTTTGTAGATTGATGAAGGGCAGCCTATGGAGTATATATCTGAATTCCGTACTGTGACTATGGTTTTGGTCAGCCTAGAGTTCCACAAGACAGCATGGATGTTGCATTTGTGTCATCTTATCCAGGAGGCTGCCCTGTACATCTCCACAGTCATAGAGAAAGGGGGTGGCCAGCTAAGTCGGATCTTTATGTTTGAGAAAGTAAGTACAAGGAAACTTGACCCATCAGTGTTAAAGGTGAGTGAAGAATAATAGTCTTGTATTTCACATAACACATGTGTAAGTCAGATTCCCTGCTATTTATTTTGTGACAAGCTGTATGACACTGAAATTTCAACTAATAATAGTTAAAGAATGGGATGTTCTAGTTAATTTAATTTTCAGGGTAACTGAGGATTATTCTCCATGTCCTTTTTTCATTTAATTCTTGTTGAAAATCTTTGATAGAGCAAAAGAATAATTGTCTGGCTCTATTAGTAAAGTAAATCAGATATTTCTGATAATTGAGCTTGAAAAAGAGTAGTATCATAATACATGACATTGTGGGTGAATAAAATGTGGGCAGATAGACTTACCTCAAGGCATATACTAGAAATGGAATTTTTGAAAAGTTCTTGACATCAGTTTTTCTTGTGTTTGAAATTTCAGTTCCTTAAAGAGTTAAATTAAGATTTTCTTTTTTTTTTCTTAAATCTCCGTGTTGATATGGCCCAGAGTGTCCATTTCATGAATCCTGTAGAATTCAACATTCCTAACAGAAAACGAATGGGGAAAGGCTCTGGCTGCATTCAGGGGAGTTGGTCCAGTTGAGGCAAGCATATTCTTTCCCCATGTAAACTTCTCTTTTCCTTCTTTGTCATCTGTCCCAGGGCTGCATGTTCCTCTGTGTTTTTGGCCTTCCTGGGGATAAGAAGCCAGATGAGTGTGCACATGCCCTGGAGAGCTCCTTCAGCATCTTCAGCTTCTGCTGGGAGAATCTTGCTGAGACCAAGTGAGGAGGAAGGTGGGGCAGAGTGGAGCTTCTCAGGCCCCAAGGGGCTCTTCAGGCAGGGTAGATGGCAGTAACAAGTTACTGGGGTTGAGAGTGTCCAGAATCTGCCTAAAGGGAAGGAAACATGCTAAGGGAAGTCAGAAAATAAGCTCTATTGAGAAATCATTAGGTACAGAATTATATACTAGATACCTAGGGAAAATGGAGATAAGTTTCCATCTAATTGGTGGAAGAGGGAGGAACCAAATACACATAACAAGATTTAAGAACGCCCTAAAGGAACAAGCAAATGTGAAAATAAGTATAATACAAACAATGTATCTATATGTTGTGGAAATGTAGAACAAAGGTTGCCTGTCTACAGGAGGGAAGGTGTGGGAAGAGAAGTTGTGCGGCTTTACTAAGATAGGAATGGACCACCACTGGTTAATGCTCTCCTTGCCTTTCAGTCTTAGTCTTTCCTAGTCCCTTGATTTTTCTGGAATTCTCACTGATCTCCCTCCTCCATATCTACCCCACCCTCCCACCTCTACAAAAGCCTTGTCTTAATGAAGGTATAGAAAATTCCATGTTCCCACTAGTCACATTCTAGTAATGTGGGTTAGAATTTTTCAGATGACTTTTTTTTTTCACTAGAAAGCCCTGAAGAAGATGTATACATTAGATTTGAAAAGTTTTTTTCCCAAGATTTTATTTATTTGAGAGAGTAAGAGAGAGAGCACAAGCTGGGGGAGAGGGAGAAGCAGACTCCCCACTGAGCAGGGAGTCTGATGTGGGGCTTGATCTCATGACCCTGGGATCAACTGACTGAGCCACCCAGGCACACTTGAAAAGTTATTTTTAATGTTAGCATCAAGTCAAAGATTTGTTTGCCATACTTATTCAATATGAAAAAAATATGTAGCACTTAACATTTATAGGATACTTTGTGTATGTTACCAGTGTGAATGTTTTTATCTCTCCTTTACACATGAGGAAACTAAAGCCACAGAAGAGGAGTTTGTAGCATACAAAAGAGTTGATAATGAAACCCAGACCTTCTATCCTCAAATCCTGTGTCATTTTCATTACTTCACAGCTGCCTCTTATAAAATACAAATACTCTCCAAAAGGGATAACCTATATTACTAATGTAATATTATTATAGAGGCATTGTAATATCTATAATATTTTTATAGAATATTAATACTGAAAAGGAACTTAGAAATGATCTGATCCAACTTTTTATTTTACAGATAAAAAAGATGCTTCAGATGCTTCATAGATAATCAAACTCTCAGTCCAAGGTAGATGTATGTCGGCACTTCTTTTAAACTTGATGGAATCTGCAGATGCTCCTTCAGCCCACTTCCCACTTCTCTCTCTGGTATGGGTGTGTTGGGGCATCCTTTCCAGTGCTGGCCTCTTCTGCTCTTGAATTTTACATTGGCCTATGGCCTTCAAGAGCCCTGCCCTTGGCCTTTACTCATGAATGAGATGGTCATTTCTTAGACCATAGTTTAGTGCTTTCAGTCTTACTTATTTTAGAATATAGTAGATTTTAAGAGCTAGATAGAATCTTAGAGTTCATCTAATCTGACCTCCTCCTTCTTCTTTTTTTTTTTTAATCTGACCTTCTTCTAGAAACTAAGATCTAGAGGTTAGTAAGCCACACAGCTTGATAATGGCAGAGCCTGAAAGCTAGTTTCCAGGTCAATTTTTTTTTCCTTGAAGAGAATTATTAATTAAGTAATTTCCCCAAAGCGTGTGTTTGGTTCCTTAATAAATCATGAAAAGAAGATTCTCATGGCCAAATATATTTGGAAAGTGATACAAACTATATTTCCTTCTTGGAGGTTCACAATATACATTAATATCAAAGGTTCTAAGTAGTCATATAATAAAAAAATTTGTTTCATCAACATTTTAATCACCATTTCCTAAATTTACTTGATCACCAAACACTTTTCTCCAGAAAGACCTAAAGACATCCAGAAGAATGACTGTTCTCAGGAGCATATATTGGAAAATGCTGCACTAACCAGGTGCTAAAACTTGCCTTCTTTATCCATAATCCAAATGTAGAGACAGACATAGCCTCAGAGCTACTGTGTGCCATCAGTAGCTGGGACTACAGCTTAGGCCTCTGCATCACATCAGCCTCATCCGGACCCAGAACAACATTCCATATCTCTTTTTTCAATGATCCTTTTCTCCTTGGGTCATCTTCTAAATTCCTGTTTCTAGTCTAGGATATACCTTCAGTTTTCAGTTCATTTACATAAAAAAATTATTCTCTGAGTCTTATGATTGATCAGGCTTTTCTAGTTTGTGACTGTTTTCCTAGAATATTCTTGAGACTCATGGAGTGTAGTCTCAGAATCTCATCATTATAGTTCTTCAGCACCAGAAATACCTTAGGTATATTTACATATGTTGAATAAAGAATGTATTTTTCATCAGTGAAGAACATCTCTTTAAAAAAAAAGGAAGAAGAAAAAAAAAAAAGGAAGAAACACGGACTTCCAGGAGTAGCAAGGGGGAATTCAAAAGTCCAATAGAGGGCAGCCTGGTGGCTTAGCGGGTTAGCACCGCTTTCCACCCAAGGCCTGATCCTGAAGACCCAGGATCGAGTCCCACGTTGGGCTCCCTGGGTGGAGCCTGCTTCTCCCTCTGTCTGTGTCTCTGCCGCGCGCGCTCTCTCTCCATCTCTAATAAATAAACAAAATCTTTAAAAAAAAGTCCAATAGAAAGAAATAAATGATCAAGTGAGAAAAGTACAGTTTGTTTCCTTCTCATAGCCCTGTTAGTGGCTGAGTTTATCACATGCATGAATGCACCCACTCAACAAGCGTTCATTAAACACCACTGTGAGCCAGGCACTATGCCAGGTACAATGGATGTAAAGAGAAATAAGACACTGCCTCTTGCACTTAGTAAACAACTACCTTTAATACCATGAAATTTAAATGCAGGAATAAAACTTGATAGGAGCTGCAGCAAAATGCTATTTCTGTTCATTCTCCCCAGAGGTCACAGAGGAGTCTTGACCATAAAGACAACGTTTGAACCAGGTTGAAAAAGAAAGGAGTTCAATAGTTGGAGGAAGCAAGAGAGGGCATTTTAGACAAAGGAAGGAAGCATGGGGAAACATCCAAAGATGTTTAATTTTATTTTTGGTGTGGCAGCAGAACTAACTGCCTGGTTCGGGTCTTGGGTGTCTCTTTACTCACCCTGAACAATGGGCCCAGGTAAAGGCTCTCCATCCTGTCGTTAGAGGAAAGCAGGAGAATTCTGATCGTGTAGGAGACAGTAGTTAGTATTGTTGCACTTTTTATGCTTTCTGTGACAACCTGAAAATGGTTTATTTGTAGATTTAACTTGAAACTAATTTATGCCTCATTGTACCCTCTTTCTCCAGCCACAGAACTTATCTGTCACAGGAAATTTTCGCATCAAGTAAATCTGATTATTCCCTTTTATGTATGAATTTGCCACTTTTGAACCTTTGCTTCACTTGGAACAGGGTATGCCCCCTTTTCAAATAGTTCATATTTCTCACACTTTCCCATCCCTAGCCTAGGTAGAACCACTTCTCCCTACTGCAAACACCATCTGTGCTGTAGGCATCCTGAACTGCTTAATTTGCACAAACACAGCGCGCTTTTCAGAGTCTCTGCCTTTTACCTCTGGATGGAACGCTGTTGCCCTGCTTTGGCAATACTTCAGCTTGCAAAGTCCAATCATACGTCCTCTCCTTTCTGAGTGGTTTTTCTAACTCTCTCGTATGAGTTAGTTCATCCATTCTCTTTGTTCTGTTAATTTGCTGTATTGATCTCTAATATGTAGTATTTGTCTTGCTAACTTATAAATATGTGTCTTCATCTCTCTCAATTTCTACCGCCCTTCCCTCCCCAAGACTGAACTTCTCCAGAGCAAGATATTTCAAACACCTAGCTCAGAACTTGGTACTGTACATACTTCTCAGTGCTTGTTAAGTGAATGAACCTATGCACAAATGAATGAATGAAAAAAAATTACTCATTTTTGGGATGCCTGGGTGGCTCAGTGGTTGAACATCTGCATTCAGCTCAGGGTGTGATCCTGGAGTCCTGGGATCAAGTCCCACATCGGGCTCCCTGCAGGGAGCCTGTTTCTCACTCTGCCTGTGTCTCTGCCTCTCTGTGTGTCTCATGAATAAATAAGTAAATTTTTTAAAGGAAAATTACTCATTTTTAAAATGTATTCCAAAGGCTCATTTGCTTAATGAAGGCTTCCATCAAAAGCCTGAACTTCTGATTATTCCTTTACTCTGACATTCTAGCATTATTTGATCTGTTAACCCTGTATTGATAACTGTTGATCTACTTTTTGTTTTGGGATTTTATCTGAGGCAGCATGGTATAGTGGAAATAACATTGGTCTAGGAATCAGGAGGTCTAGATTCTCATTCTGACTCTTCTATTGATTTCTGCTGTATAACTCTGGGAAAATTAGCTCCTTCACTTGTGGGTTTTTGTTTTGTTTGTCAAATGGGGTTAAAATATTTACCCTACATACCTCACATATTTGTTGTGGATTGTCCCTCAAAGGGTCAGATGAAATAATCAGTTTGAAAATACTTCAGAAAACATATACAAACTATCTAACAGATATAAGGTATTTTTATTTAGTCTTTCTGCTGATAATACCTCCCCAGCTAAAACTCCATGCATACAGGAACTATTTTGTCCCTTTATAACTTTATGCATACCATGCAATGTAGACAGCAGTCTCTGGCCTTTTCTATTCTGAGCCCCAAAGCTAGATGTCTAGATCTGAGGACTGACAGATCTAGTGCCTCACTTTGACACGTCTGACTATATTTACTAACTGTTGCTTTTCCAATCCCCAGGCTTGTTTCCATCAGTATCACCAATGGACCAGTATTCTGTGGCATGATTGGGGCAGTGGCAAGACATGAATATACAGGTAGAATAGGACATTGGACTGTTGGCTCTGTGACTTTGGGGTGAAAGTGGAAGAGATGGTTCAAAAACTCTCCATCCTTTTCTTTACTGTCTCTCTGACATAGTTATTGGTCCAAAGGTGAGCCTTGTGGCCAGAATGATAACTGCTTATCCAGGTTTGGTGTCCTGTGATGAGGTAACATATCTAAGATCCATGCTACCTGCTTACAACTTCAAGAAACTCCCACAGAAAATGATGAAGAATATCTCCAACCCAGGGAAGATGTATGAATACCTTGGCCATAGAAGATGTATGTGAGTGTCATTGTGTGATAATTTATTCCCATCTCTTTTAAAGAATCAGGGTCTAGGAATAATCAGTGTTTGACTATATGAAACTAGAAAGAAAGATACTTCTAGTCCTGGCCTGTCGGATTAAGAGACATAAGAGGAGGGTTTAGTGTCTGAGATCTTTAGCTTTTCTGTTTAGCTCTGAGCTAGTTCCTTAGTGAACTTCTTGCTGTCCAACAGGAAGAGAATGCAGTAAGTCATGAATCTGGCTGTTCTTTTTTTCTTTTTTATTTCACAATTTATTTAGTTCTCTGAGCCTGGAACAATCAATATTTCTCCCCTTCCTCCTCATAAAGATTTTTAATTTTTTAAAACTCTTTTATAGAGAACTCTGGACCTTTTCAGTTTTCTGAAAGTACTTGCTGATGAGGACAATTGCTCTCTAGCTATTTAGAGATATACATTCTATCTATTGCAGTCTTTTAATAGACACATTGTCCTTTTTCTCAGAATGTTTGGGAAGAGACATTTGGCCAGAGAGAGAAATAAAAATCACCCTTTGTTAGGTGAGTTTTCTTTTCTACTTTAAATCATATTTTTTTCAGCTATAGGTGATTGAATGATTTTTTTTAATGCAAGACTAAATGCTTCTAAGCCTATATTAAAAGAACAGAGGAAAAAAAAAGAACAGAGAGCAGCCCTCTTACTGAATTTATGTTAGAGGCCTTGCTATTTATTCTCCTTGTTGAATGTTTACACTTTGGTGGAGTCTTCCCACTTTGCCTGAGAAGTACCAACATTTAGTAAGAATCTTTGTAAGCCAGAATTCAGCTATTGAGGTCTTGCTCAGCTTGTTATGGATCATCTCAGAGGAGAATTCCTCATCATGATACACCAAAGAAAGCACCAAGACTGTTACCACCCACACTGCATATTCCCTATTTTTATATTTATCTTCATTTATATCTATTAGTCTATTATCTTTAAATAGCAATGACTGACTTTGAAGACTAAATTGTTATAATAGAAATGTTTACAAAAATATAAGGAGAGTAGCTCCCATGTCTTAATGTTATTACTTAGGCTCCAGAGCAAACCACCAAACCCAGCACACATTTCTATATAGTCCAGAGTTTATTTTATGCAGGGATGTGAAACCTCATCAAAGAATGGGATTCTGCCCATGATTCTAGGGGGGAAAATCATTCTGAGAATTATCTTTGCAAAATAAACAGTTTCTACTAAAAAAGTACAGGAGTATTAGGTGCTCCCTATCTCTCTACAGATCGGGAGAAAGAACTGGAAGCCTTCCAAATGGCACAGCAGGAATGTTTGCACCAGAAGAAGGGACAAGCAGTTTTGTATGAAGGTGGAAAAGGCTGTGGAAAAAGTCAACTGTTGGCTGAAATAAACTTCCTGGCCCATAAGGAACAGCACAGGTAAAGACTCCTGCTTCCTGGCTCAGTGTCTACTTCTCTTGAGGCTCCTTTCCCTTGTTGGTGAGATTCTTGTATCATTACATTCAGCATCCTTGAGCTGGTGGAGTGAGTAAGCTCTCTGTGGGACAAGGGATTCCCAGTGACCACAGTTACATTCACCAGGGTGTTACCACTGAAGCTGAAGGAAACAGATTTCAAGCAGTGCTTCTATGCCATCCAGACTCTCATGGCTATCTTCTTTGAGATCGATACATGTCCAGCCTATTACCGGCAAGAGTGCCTACACAAACAACTCCATGGGATGGTGGAGGAACCCCTTCACTGCCTTTTTAATGACCTCTTCTTTGTGAAGGTAATGAAGGCCGTGGCTTTCTGAACTGGATTACTAATATTATTTTTGGTGGATAGTAGGGCCCAGTATTGTTTTCTAATCTTATGTATAACTTAAAAATACATAGTTAGCAATGGCAGGGTTGAGATCTGAAATCCCTTTGACACCAAAACCCAGGCTTTTGCTTTGTTAAGGAGAGTAGATTCTAGGACTGACTCTAGCACTTGCTAATTGAATGTCATGGCACAAATCACTCTGCCTGAGCCTACATTTTTTCACCTGTGAAATAATGATTATAGTACTTTATGTGATTAGTACATACATTTTAAAGAAGGTATAAAATAGGTCATAGTGTAAATGTGAGAGTGCTAAATCTGTCAAGGTGTTACTGACCAGTCGAGCATTCCCAGCAATTTTATCCATGTGTTTTCAAGTCAGTTGTGATGTTTTGTTCTTTAACCCTAGCCATGGAGTTTGTCACTTGAATCAGCATCTGAATCTCAAAAGCTTCCAGCAGTCTAAGGTTTACTAGAGTGAGCAGGCTAAGAAAGAATTCCCTGGTCCACAATGCCATTTATTCTTCCTCTATCATTTCTACTAATCTACCAAGCCTGCAGGGAATGGTATTTAATGGAAAATAGAGAAAAGGAAAATCTCTCCAATCCCTCAGTTCAGCCCTGTCTTAAAACAGGCCTTGCCTGCGGCTCTGGCCCTTGTCCAAGTGCTAGAGGAATAGCCTTACTTTGACTCTCCGGTCCATGTCACTCACTTGCTGTGAGTTGTGCAACTTGCTAGCACAATGTTAGGAGATACCCATCATGATTCTTTCTGACAAGTCTCATACACTCATTCATTCTGGTGTATTTGGAATAACTGCGGTACTGGAGCTGTCCAAAATAACATTCTAAATCCAACGTGTCACTTTACTTCTTAGTCATGACCCTTTAAGTGTTTGCCACAGTCTGGGTTTGGAAAGGGTCTCTCTCTCTCTCCTCTAATCTCCAGTGGACTTTCCATGTCACTCTGAATTGTTTATCGGATATTGGATTAGCATTTGCGACCCTATGTCCAGTCCTATAGAAGAAACCCATTCTAACTCAAATAGAATCATTGTCTGTTCCCTTTAGAGAGTCTGCATATTTTTATTAGATTGTCATTGTGAATGCTAACATATGAATAATTTTCTTGGTTAGTTTCCCTTATCCTTCGAAGTTTCGCACATGGATGACCTGACCAGACAAAAGAAGGTTAAGGCGTGTTTTTTTCAAGTGCTTCAGGAGGTGGGTACTTTTGCTACATACCATTAACTCTTAATGTATGGAGATGGTTTGTGCTTATTTTAACCTATTCATAGCACAGCTTGACTTGGGCCTGTCTGTCTGTGATATCTTCATTGTATCTATCTTTAACCTTGAATCAATCCTATTGTACAGCAAACAAGAAAAGTTCTTGGCTCTTCCCTGATCCTTGGTTCTTAATGAAATTTTAGTAACTTACTTTAAAACAGTGGCTTCTAAATGGAAGCAGATAGCTGTTTTACCTCCTATTTGTTACAAATACACTCAAGCCTTAACCAGATTACAGAGTCAAAAATATCTATAAGCAGAAACTGATGTAGTCATTCTGGAAAGCAATCTAGAAGTAATTAGTCACATTTTAATAACATACATTTTCTAGACCTAGCAGTTCCACTCCTGGACCTATGTCCCAGGTAGTCTGTCCACTGCAGTGTTTGTGGAGGCAAGGGAGACGTTGGCATCAATGCTCTGCAATATAATGCAGAAGTTTAGAAGGGAATAGATGAAAACATTGCAACACAGAGTGTTCTTAAAAATAATCTTGAATAAAAAGAAATAATGAGATCTATACAGTAGCATTTATATAAAAAAGTTTATTTAACTATAATGTGCATTTTTAAGAACACAATACAAACAAAAGGATTAGGGGAACACCTTAGAATGGTTACCTGCTGCAGCAGGGGGTGGGGAGTATGAATAAAAATGAGTATATTTTTTTCAAGTTTACATGAATAAGGTCTGATAACTGCTAGTTTTAACAAGCACTCAGATAATTCTGATGTGCAGCCTGGTTTGGACATTACTAATATAAAGTATTATGAGTTCCTATATAGTTTGAAGCCTTTGCCAAAATCAAATGTTTGAATGCTTTATGTTCAGAGAATATTTTGATGTTCATTTTGTTTTTCAGTTAGAGTGTTTTCTTGTCCAAAGAAACTCAGTACATTTCTTTAGAAATTAGACATACTGGCTATATTTTATATTTATAAAATAAGATATGGGGATCCCTGGATGGTCAGTGGTTGGGCATCTGCCTTTGGCCCAGGGCGTGGTCCTGGAGTCCCGGGATCGAGTCCCGCATCAGGCTCCCTGCTTGGACCCTGCTTCTCCCTCTGCCTATGTCTCTGCCTCTCTCTCTGTGTGTCCCTCATGAATAAATAAATAAAACCTTAAAAAAATAAGATATTACCTGGACTTTGGATACATTTTATCCTGTATAAAACCCCAGATTTTTTTAATCTGTTGGGAAATTCATGGTGCATTTGAAAATCAGATGACTTAATTTCTAATCAGAAGTTATCACTGTTTCTTTGCTTTTATTTTCAGGCAGTGAGGGAAACACCACTGATTTTCCTCATTGATGAAGCCCAATATATGGATACAGCTTCCTGGGAGTTTTTGGAAACATTACTCTCCACTGTGCCCATCATCATGGTGATGACATTGACCCCTACTTTCACCCTGTGTGGCTGTGCCCAGCACTTCCTGCAGAGCTCTCAGGCTGTCCTTGTGCCCATTTTGAAGTTGGCAGCGACCTCACTGTTGAGAATGGCATGTTGGGAACTGGGGGTGGTGAGCATCCCCCAAGAGCTACAGATGTGAGTGGCTAGGACTAGCTGGGCACTTCATTAAGGGCAGAGCCAGTGCCATAATATAAGTGAGAAGGCTCAGGTCTCACTTACCCAAGTTGGGGGAGAGAATGGCCTTAGTAACCATGATGAGACCCAAGGCCAGATTTAAGGATAGACCGTCTCCTAGCAAACCAGTAAAGTGCTACCTTCCTGGGCGACCCAGGTTTTCACTAGACAAGACTTGGATGGTTTGCTTCAAGTGTCAATTATATGTGGTCAGGCCATTTTCTAGAGCTCTTTGGTAAGGGGATGTTAGTTCTTCTTAACAGCAATAGAAACAAAATAGTTAAAAAAGAAAAGTTACTGCTAAAATACATTTCAAGCCATCAGAATCTTTTTTTTTTTTACATTTCTGTGTTGCTTCTTATCTCTGTTAGAGAATATCATCAAGAGCTGACTTTAACAAAAGAAGAAATAATCCTCAGTATGAAATGCCCTTATGCTTGGCTCTCTTCAAGTGGGCATCTTAGTCAGCAATCCCCTACTTACCTCTCTACAGCTACCTTCTCCACAGGTGCTTTGGAAATCCCCTCTACTGTGAGGTCTTATGCCAGGACCTTCTCTCTAAAGATATTTTGCTCTTTCATGACCTACAAAAGGTGGAGGAGAACAGCAAGTGGGAGAACCTCTCAGGTAAGCTTAGTTTCCAGGGTTCTACCCTCTCAGCTGCTGGGGTTCATCCTTTGATATGGCATCACCTGACCCTTATGAGGCACGTGCCTATTTCCTGCTAACATTCAAAACAAGAGTAAGCCTTCCCAGCTTGCCTCAGAGAACTTAATTGAGTCATTAAATCTATTATAGTTCCTTTTTGAGCAGCCCAAGAGATAGGAATAGGAAAAGAGGATTTATAAACAAGAGTTCATGAGAGAATTGCATATTAATTACTGATGAGAAGGACAACTTGAAGATTTGGATAAGGGGTGGAAGAAGGGAGGAGGTTGGGAGAGGAGGATAAAAGCATGTGTAAATCTGGAAAGGCATCCTAGGGCTGTGAGGGCTGTGACATAATAGAAGGGAGGGCTACTGGAAAGTAAATGGGAAGAGTGTAAATATTGAATACCATATGGTAGAAAAAAAATGTGGTTAGTTTCTGAGAGAACATTAGCGAGCAGACAGGATGAGTGGGGTAAGCCACCTTAAACATATGCTCTCTATCCTGTTCATTTCTTGGCTAAATTCTTGTATTTTTGTGCCTTCAAAACTTGTCACTGAGCATGGTGTTTTCCTCAGTCATTGTCTTCTTTCCCTATAGCCAATGCCGTGAAATCCACAATGTATGGTATTTTTCCTGCTGGCTCTGCAGAAGACCATGAACTTTATATCTGCACAGTCAAGGATGATGTGAACTTGGATACAGTGCTTCTCCCACCATTATTAAAAGGCAAGTCCCTTGAAAACCTCAAGTGAACCAATTACAGATGTCACTGCACTTAGTAATTTGGTGATGAATATAGGTCTCTCATTATCATGCTAGTTCCATTTTCTTCTAAAAAAGAAGCCTACCTTCTAGAAATACATTCTGGTACTGCCCAAAGAGCCTTTAAGAGATCTGTAAACGCTGCTTGAGTATTGTCTTACTTAAGTGAGCCCCTTGTTCTCTGAGGCTAATGACTGAGAAGTTTTCTAGTTATTTGATAAAAATTAGGTCCCGAGTTTCCCTTTATGCATATTCCTGTGCTAGAAGAGGCACTAAGCAGGGGACATAATGTGACTGAGATTTAAGAAAATCTATGGTGCTAGTGAAGAGACAGTGTTATACACATAGCAGGAGTTAAATAAAAAGAGGGTGAAGTAAGTTTATCATAACTGATGAGAAAAAGAATGGAGAAGCCATCAGAACTGAGTAGGCATAATCAGATAGGGGATATTCTTTTTAGAAATGAGAAAGTTGGAGTTTTTTTCATGTTCTATTCAAATGTTTGGTGGTTAGTTTCCATACTAAGCCCTTTTAGAATATTATGATGATTAAGCCTGCCTTCAAGTCAAGCATGATCTTGTTGAGAATATAAGACAGGCATATGAAACAGCAGTAGAGAACACCTTGGTAACTAAGGGCCAAGGCTCTGGGTACCACTGGCTCTTTCACGTACTGGCTATGAAACCTTAAATAAACTTATCTAATCCTTAGTCTTCTCATCACTTCAATGAGGATAATGATAGCACCTATCGTGTGGGGTTAGTTGAGGATTAAATGAAATAAATCATAGTACATCATAAATATTCAATGTATGTTAGCTTATAATGTTATATTATAACATATAATAGCTCTTATAGCCATTATAAGCTAACATTCTGGTGTCTGTAAATCCATCTAGGCAATTCACACTCTTACAACTACAGCAGGCCATACTTGGCATTGGTTTTACTAACTTGGCAGCATACAGGTCAGAAAATATACCATCAGGTGGTTTTCTTTAGTGGAGGTCCTTATGACAGTTTCCACTGCTATTCTCTGGAGCCACAAGGGGTTTCTTTTGTGTGACAGAATGAAACCATGATGGGTGGATGCTTAGAAGCCCCATGTCTCAACTAGAAGCTACTGTCTCTTATCACAGCCCCATAGGCATAGATTTCAGGCTCTGCAAGGGACATGACCTATGACAAGAATTACTACACAGAAAGAAACCCAGAACTGTGGCTTACCACCAGTTATTTTTAGCTTATTCACAGTTTTCCTAGTCCAAATTCAGTTTCCCATCAGGGATAATTGCTAGCATAATAAATGTCATGTGGTGACTCAGCTGACATTCTCATTTAATCAGGATCCTGGGAAACAGCTGAAAAGTTAACCCAAGATCAATATTGTCCACAGGGAAGGAAAAGGTTAACTTGTAAGCTAAAACAAATAGCTCATTCAGCAAAGCCTTGGTCTAAATGAAAGGGCAAAGCTAGATTGGGAAGGGCCACATAAGTTACAAAAAGGGCCTTGGCATGATTGTATCTGTACTTTATATACATAATTCTACTACTAGTTAATATGTTACTGGAATAAGAATGAGAAGAAACTGAAGATGTTTCAGTGGTGTGGTGAATACCTAGTGGTTGTTGCTTGAACAATGATGGGAGAATGAGGACAAATGAGGACTTGGAGATAAGGCTCTTTTAAGAGGTTAGGGTGAGTGGAAAAGGAGAGGACCAAAAGCAAGCCGTTTTTGGTTTTTTTGTTTTTGTTTTTGTTTTTTTTTTTTAGAGAGAGAGAGAGAGAGAGTGCATGGATGGGAGGGGCACAGGGAGAGGGGGAGAGAGAGACTCTTGAGCAGACTCCCTGCTGAGCGTGGTGCTCAGTGCAGAGGACTCAATGCCATGACCTGAGATCATGACCTGAGCTGAAATCATGAGTCAGAAGCTTAAGTGACTCAGCCACCCAGGCACCCTGAAAGCCTTTTTTTTTTTTTAAGTGAATCGATTATCAACACAATGTATTCTATATTTGTAGAAAGCTTGTTCAGGGCTCTTGTTTTGTTTTTTGTTTTTGTTTTTTTTTTTCCAGAAATAGCAGTAAACCAGTTAGATCAATTGAGCCCAGCGGAGCAGCTGCTGGTTAAGTGTGCTGCAGTCATTGGTCACTCCTTCCACATAGATCTGGTGCAACACCTCCTGCCTGGCTGGAATAAAAATAAGCTACTTCAGGTGTTGAGGGCTCTTGTGGATATACATGTGCTCTGCTGGATCAACAAGAGTCAAGAGCTTCCTGCTGACTCAATAATAGTGCCTTCCTCGATCAAGATTATTGAACAAATCAAAGAGAAGAAGAAAAAGTCAGGTGAGGAACAGCTGCTTTCCTGTTCTTACCTGACAGAGAAGAGAACCTTGGGTAGGTATATCTGTGTTCAGAAAGAACATCAATATCCTTTATCATGGGCCTCAGTTTCCTAAAACTATAGCTAAGAAATGGGGGAAAGTGATTCTTTTAATCACAAAGGAGCCATAGTGAATGAATAACCTGTATTTTTCAGAACTGTTTTAATTCCTAGAATTTTAGGTCCTTGTTAACCCCATGTGTTAAGTATCTGTATCTTAATTTTTGGTTGGAAAATAACCCTTTACTGGCTTCTAGGTATAAATAAGAAAAAAAAGAATAAGCCGTCTCTAATTTTTAGAAATTTACAATAAAAATAAACACAACTGGTATTGAAACACACATGAACAAAGCAAGATATACATTAGCTTGCTACCTCAAATTCTCCATGTAATAAAATTGTAGCATAGACTACCCAAAGTACATAAATTCACAAATAATTTCCCTTTGACTTTGAAATATGTTTGGGCCTTATATTTGAACAGAGCATTTCTGATGATTTGATATTTATAGTAATTTGTAGTAAAAAAAATCTCAATTTAGGAGGAACATCTAAGAATTCTATTCAGTGTACTTCTGTACCACTGATCATTTTTTCTCTGTGGTACTTTGTATAAGATATATGGTCAATGTCATTCTCAGATGTGTAATATACTTTATACAGAAGAATTATAAATAAAATTTTCTTATAAACTGCAGCATGTGCTTGGGAGTTTGCTACTGATAGCATAAAAGACCTTTGAGGGAGACTCTCACTGAGATTTTCCTATATTTCAGATGCTGACTCTCCTCTCAGTCTGCAAGAGGAACTATCCCTACCTCAAACAGAGGTGCTAGAATTTGGAGTGCCACTAATACGGGAAGCTGCTTGGGAGCTGTGGCCCAAGGCGCAGCAGATAGCCCTGCACCTTGAATGTGCCTACTTTCTCCGCAATTTGGCCTGCCGCTGTGGGAGCTGTCATGGTGGGGACTTTGTCCCCTTCCACCGTTTTGCCGTCTGTTCTACTAAGAGCTGCAATGGGACCTCCCGATTCTGTAGTTACAAAGATACTGGCTCAGTACTAACACAAGTGATCACAGACAAATTGCAGCTGCCTTCTCCCCAAGGTAAACCCAGGGAGCAGAAAAAGAACATGCTGGCATCACTTCTCTTTATTCATGTACCTGGAGCTCTTCATCCAAAAGGTGGAATCAGATTAAGGGAGGAAAATAGGTGGAAAGAGCCATTTATCTCTGTGCACCGGGGATAAGCACCAGAAATAAAAAATGGAATATCAGAGCTAAAAGGAACTTTAGAGATCATGCTTATTTTGGTTGGCAATCTTGGCCAAGTTACCTAACCTCAATTAATTGAGGAAAATAACAATACCAATTGCATAGAGTTACTGTGAGAATTAAATGAGTTAAAATATATAATGTGTTTTGAATAGTACCAGGCACATGGTTAGTGCTCAGTATATTTTAGCTACTGTTGTTATTATTATTAAACTCTATGCATATATATGGGACCCCAATGTGTATCAGATACTGTAACTAGGTATTAAGAATACAAAGTGAATAAGTGTGGGTCCCTGAAATGATCAGTTTTAGGGGTTGATACAGACATACAAATAGAGAATTCCAATATGACATGGTAAAGGCAATGAAAATAGCATACCTAGGCATTGGGGTATCTAGAGAAGGGGCCATTGGCCTAGCCCAAGAAGTGAGTAGGAGAAAACTCTCCCTTGAAGGAGATAATGGCCAGAAGTGAGAACTCAGGGATAAATAGCAATTAGTTGCTTGGAGAAGTTTGAGTTAGTGGATAGGTGTTCCCCAAAGCCAGTAGCCCTTCTACCACATCCTAAATGAGAGCCCACTCACATTGTTTTAACATTTTCAGTTATTGGACAGCCCATTTCATTGTCAACAACTATTAGAAAGCTTCGTTCATCAAGGTGAAATCTGCCTTCTTATAACTTCACCCATTTTTCAGAGTTGCACCTTTTAAAAAAAACTATTTAAATTTCAGCTAGTTAACATACAGTGTAATATTAGTTTTGGGTGGGCAATATAGTGATTCAGCACTTCCATACATCACCCAGTGCTCATCCTAAGTGCCCTCCTTATTGCCCATCACCTTTTTAGCCCATCTCCCCCACCCCTCCCCGCTGGTAACCATTAGTTTGTTCTCTATAGTTAAAAGTATGTTTCTTGGTTTGCCTCTCTTTTTTTTCCATTTGCTCATTTGTTTTGTTTCTTAAATTCTACATAAGAGTGAAATCATATGGTATGTATCTTTTTCTGACTGACTTATTTTTTTAATTTTTATTTATTTATGATAGTCACACACACACACACACACAGAGAGAGAGAGAGAGAGAGAGAGAGGCAGAGACATAGGCAGAGGGAGAAGCAGGCTCCATGCACTGGGAGCCTGACGTGGGATTCGATCCCGGGTCTCCAGGATCATGCCCTGGGCCAAAGGCAGGCGCTAAACCACTGCGCCACCCAGGGATCCCCTGACTGACTTATTTTACGTAGCATTACACTCTCTGACTTTATCCGTGTCAAGGCAAATGGCAAGATTTCATTCTTTTTTATGGCTGAGTAACACATATTGTGTGTGTGTGTGTGTGTGTGTATGTATACAAACAAATATATATATATGTCACATCTTCTCTATCCATTCATCAGTTGATGGACACTTGGGCTGCTTCTATACTTTGGCTATTGTAGATAATGCTGCTATAAACATCAGAGTGCAGGTATCCCTTTGAATTAATATTAGTATTTTTGTACTCTTTGGGAAGATACCTAGTAGTGTGATTGCCAGATCATAGGTAAGTTCTATTTTTTACTTTTTGAGGAACCACCATTCTGTTTTCCACAGTGGCTGCACTAGTTTACATTCCCACCAACAGAGGGTTTCCCTTTCTCTATATCCTCACCAATACCTGTTGTTTCTTGTGTTGTTGATTTTAGCTATTCTGACAGGTGTGAGGTGATATTTCATTGTAATCTTGATTTGCATTTCCCTGACGATAAGTGAAGACAACACAAAGAAATGGAAAGACATTTCATGCTTATGGATTGGAACAACAAATATTGTTAAAATGTCTGTACTACCCAAAGCAATCTACACCTTTAATGCAATCCCTATCCAAATACCAACCAGCATTTTTCACAGACCTAGAACAAATAATCCTAAAATTTGTAAGGAACCACAAAAGACCCTGAATAGCCAAAGCAACCTTGAAAAAGAAAAACAAAGGTAGAGGTATCACAATTCTGGACTTCAAGTTATATTACAAAGCTGTAATGATCAAGACAGTATAGTACTGGCACAAAAATAGACACATAGATCAATGGAATGGAATAGAAAACCCAGAAATGAACCCACACTTATATGATCAACTAGTCTTGGACAAAACAGGAAAGAATATCCATTGGGAAAAAGACTATCTCTTCAACAAACACTATTGAGAAAGCTGGACAGCAACATGCAAAAGTATGAAACTAGGCCACTTTCTTATATCATCCACAAAAATAAATTCAAAATGGATTAAAGACTTAAATGTGAGACCTGAAATCATAAAAATCTAGAAGATAGCATAGACGATAACCTCTTTGACATCAACCATAGCAACTTCTTTATAGATGTCTCCTGAGGCAAGGGAAACAAAAGCAAAAATAAACTATTGGGACTACATCAAAATAAAAAGCTTTAGTGCAGCAAAGGAAACAATTAACAAAACTAAAAGACAACCTACAGAAGGGGAAAAGATATTGGCAAATGACATATCTGATAAAGGGTTCGTATTCAAAATATATAAAGAACTTATAAAACTCAATACCAAAAAATGAAAAATCCGATTTTTTTAAGAGCAGAAGACATGAATAGACATTTTTCCAAAGAAGACATCCAAATGGCCAACAGACATGTGAAAAGATGTCATCACTGATCATCAGGGTAATGCAAATCAGACCCGTGCTGTCTTCCATATTTGAAGACAGCTGTCAAGACCCAACCAAATCTTCTCTTTTTCTATTCTGATAGTTGTTGTTGGTGTTGGAAAGGGAGAGATGGTGAATCGTTTGTGGTAACAGACTAAAATCAATAAGTTAATCTATTCTCTTAATGTCTGTTCTAGCTATAACATTCTGATGACTCTGTGAAGGTGGGCCAGTGACTTGGAAAAATTGGTCATTGGCTGTTGAACTCTTTGGGCATTCGCACTTTTGTCCTTTCCAAGGAGAAAGAGAAAAGTCACAGTGAATGTCCTGGTCTAGGATTATAAAGAAATTACTATCATTGCTATTTCCCATATGACTTTTTCCTTTTGAGAGGTCAGTGTTAGCTTTAGATTACACAGCCTGATCAGTCTATATGAGAAAGGCCCAAGACCTTCCCAGCACAACCAAACTCTCTGAGAATGTTTCCCAGATTCAAGGTCCCTGTGCATGGCCATGCAGAACAGGCACTGCACAAATCTAGACAGTGGTAGTCAACACATGCTATGATGTGATGGTTCCCCTGGAAATTGCATTGCCATCGTGCTGCCAAACTCCTGGTTCTTGAGTTACCTTAGTCTTACTTTACCTTATTTGACATTGTTCAGCAATCAGAGAGCTGGTCCTTTTCCTTAACACAAGTTCTCCCTACAACTGTCCTCTGGCACTCCCTTTCAATCCCACCATCCATGCCTCTGAGCCCTAATGGTAGCATCTCCACATCATTCCCAGTTTTTTACTTTTTGATCTGTGGAAAGGCAGCTGCAGAGGAACAGAGAAATCTGAGGGATAAGGGCTGTTTGAAGCCAATTAGGTAAAGCTGGAACCCCTGCTGGCCACTGTGACTCTAGTGAACTGTGGCATCAGGGGTCCTTGTGATTTTACACACTAGGTCTAGCTCTGTGACTCACTCTCAGCTGGTCGTGAACTCAATACAGATATATTCACGGATTTCTTCTATTAGAAGTAGCCATCAAACCAGATGGACCTGTTATTTATTCATTTCTCTAGCAAATAGAATTAGGGACTGGTTTGGGAGGTTTGAGAAGAGTTACTATTTGAATCCTAAGTAGTTGCCATTAAGGAATTTGTAATCTACCATCCCGTTTTGTGTGTAGGCTGATATTAAACCTAAACTTGATATTAAACCTAAACAATTGAGGGAGGCAATTAGGTCATGAACTAAGCTTCAGAGGAAAGGCAGTCAAGAATTGGAAATATTCTCAATTAATACAAAGATGGATAATGAAAGATAATAATCTTTTTCTCTCTACAGACAGTTTTCAGTTCCAGACAAAATCATTCAGAAGTCAGGAGGCCTTCACAAGTGAACACTGCAGGTAAATGGAGATGCTGAGAGTGGGCTTGGGGGACAAGGAAGTGAGACACGGGTGACTATTAAAAGGGTCACTTGCCTCACCTGCAGACCAGGAATGCCTCTGACCACCCAGGAGTAGTGACCCTTGTACCCAATCCAGAGTTCAAGTTAACAGAGAATTGGAAAGGCAATTTTTGATTTTTTTTAGGGAAATTATTTCTTAGTGTTTAGGAGAAGCTTCATTTAATAGTTCTCGAATGCACTATACACATAGCAGATTTTTCTCTGCTATAATTTTGCCTTCTCAATTATGTTTGACCCCAGACGATATTAAAAGGAATTTACATTTCCTAATCGTGTGCCTCCTGACTTTCTAATGTCTAGCCTATCAAATTTAAATATCCCTACCTTGAGTTCACCAGCCCCTCTAGAGTTTCCTGTCCTGCTTATCCAACCTGATTTCTTAGAGGTTTTCAAACAAAAATCTGTATTCTACATGAATCATCCCCACACTCACCTGTTTATCTCTGCTCACACAATTATCCCTTTTTGAAATTCTAAGTGGCCTCCATATCCTTCTACTTATCAGAGTGTTCAGTGATCTTCAAAACCCTCCTCAGTTTCCATCTTTTTTAACCATTCTGCCTCAGAGAGATCTAACCTCTTTCAAATTCATGGTGTTTATAGAGAGTGCATGGACTAGTAGTCAGAGAAGTGAGCTCTAGTTTGGTTCTATTCAGTAGCTGTGAGGTCATTCAGAAGTCACTGAAGCTTCCCAAGCCTCAATTCCCTCTTCAGTAAAAGGAGGGTAGTTTTTGCCTATCTGAAAGACAGTGTTATTGTAGGATAAGATGGTGTTGTATAAAATCATGTGTTGACAAAGTTCAAATATGCTCATAGAGAAATTATTACTATTGCCTTGTATCATTTTCATGTTTATATTTTACACACTGTTAGTTTACTCCTCAGGTATAGTTGTTTCCCCATTTAGTCTGTGAGGTACTTAGACTGGCTATAGGTTTTTTAAAAATCCCTAATAGGGCTTTGACATTATAGATCAGGTCCCTGACTTTCAAAAACTTATGGAGTGATGGAGGAGAAGGCTAAACATAGAATTAATGAGCTATAAAGGAAGGCCTCCTGGAACAAGTGGCTTGGAGACCTGGTAATATGCCGAGAACAGTGGTTGCTTTGTGACCACTCTCTGTTCACCTTCTTTCCATAAAGAACAGAGGAAGAGTTCCTGGATCAAGTGAACAGGAAGCTGTTTCAGGCCAGCCCCAAGAAAGACATGTTGACCTCCAGGCCCTGTCACTGTGAGGATATCCTGAAGTTAGTGCTCTCACCACTCACCCACCACTGCCTGGTCATTGGAGAAACCACATGTGCATTTTATTACCTGCTGGAGGCTGCTGCTGCCTCCTTGGATCTATCAGAGAATTACATGGTGAGCAAGCTCTGCTCCCTGCCCCTGAGCTGAGTCCTTTCACTTGGAGAAGTTGGTGGGGATTTCCTATTGTCAAATCAGCTTGGGTGAAAAATGGAGCAAAGAGGAGAGAGAAAGGAGCTGGAAGGTGTTTAGGAGAAAACATGAAGTGGGAATGTCCAGTCCAAGAGCACCAAGCGCTGTTGGCCCTGCCCCTGACTTAGGTATGCCATCAGCTCCCCATTTCTAACTGTGAAACCACCCTGATTCCAATCCAAGTTTTGACTTCATCATAACCTTATTCCAGGCTTCGTCCTCATCACACTACTAGGGTCATCTGAATCTTAATCTTGTTTCTCCATCCCTTGTCTTGTTTGGAGGCCTTCCTTTATTTGAAGAAGGCAAGCAGTCTTCTGGGACAGCCCTCAGCATTCTCATTTTTGAAAAAGCACAAGGTGAAGATCTGTCAGTTTGAGGAGGCCACTTTCTGCTGTCTTCGGTCAGAGGTAAACTCAGGGCAGGACCCTGAAGTTTGAGTTGTTTCTCCTTGAGGGTTACCCTATTATTCCCTTTAAAAATCTTTGTGACTTTTGCATGCAATTATAAATGTGATAATGTGAGAGAAGGTTTTAGAAATTCCAATCATAGCAATACACAATATGTAGAAAGTGAAAAGAGCTCCATGCTGCCCCCAGCATAGTTAATAATGTGCATATTCCACCAGAAATATACACATAGGCATATCATTATTATTTTCTATTGTTTTTAAAAATAGAATCATATTCTACATTCTCTTTCTTCTGCAGCTGACTTTTATTCTTGACAGTATAGACTGAACATTTTTGTATATTGGTGTGCATCCAGTTACAGCTGCCAAGCACTCCCTTGTATCCTTATATCAAAGATTACTTAATCAGTCAGTTCTTCACGTGCATTTAGGTTGCCTCTAATTTGAGATAATTATAAGGATTGCTACAGTGATTATTCTTGTATATATCTCTTTCTTCCTTGTAAAAATGTTTCTATAACAGAAATTTCCAGAGGTAGAAATGCTAAGGTGGAAGATAGGAATGATTTTACATTTAATAAATATATTGCCAAATTGTCTGTCAAGATTACACACCTTCCTTGACTTGTGATGGGGTTACATCTCAATAAACCCATAATAAGTTGAAAATATTATGTAGCCAAATCTAATATATCTATCACAAGTTGAAAATGCATTTAATACACCTAACCTACCAAACATCTTAGTTCAGCCTGGCTAATCTTAGACATAGTGAGAACACTTACATTAGCCTACAGTTGGGCAAAATTATCTAACACAAAGCCTGTTTTAGAATAAAGTGTTGAGTATCTCATGGAACTTATTGGGTACAATACTGAAAGTGAAAAATAGAATGGTTATATGGGGACAGAATGATTGTTGTATCAGTCGTTTACTCGTATGATCCAATGGGTGACAGGGAGTGTACCCACTGCTGCCACCCAGCATCATGAGAGAGTATCATACCATACATATAATGCTACCCCAGGAAAAGATCAAAATTCAAAGTCAGCCTTCTGACAAATGTGGGAGATGAGAAAAGAGGGTGTTTTATCCACAGCCATATTTTCTCACTCCTTTACCCACACTCAGTTCTACTGGTGCTGGTTAGTGTGGCACAGCCCTATGGTGCCCTTACTCTGACGCCTCAGTGGCCTGAGTTCTAGCCCTAAATGAAAGAGCCAGTGTATTATGTCCAGAGCTTACAGAGTTTACATTGTTGTTTCTCATTTTCCCATCTGCAGGTCTGTTTCAACATGGGACAGATCACCTTGGCCAAAAAATTGGCCAGGCAAGCCCTTCGACTGCTGAAAAGGAATTTCCCTTGGACCTGGTTTGGTGTCCTTTTCCAAACATTCCTAGAAAAATATTGGCGTTCCTGTTCCCTAAGCCAACCTCCAAACAACCCCAGTGAGAAGTGAGGAGCCTGGCCAAGTCATCCGGTCCCTTTAGGACCACAGAGAACTAAACTGGGACCAGGCGTGGAGTATTGCCTCTATTGACCTAAGACTCCTCCTCTTCCAAGCATATAGCAGTTCCGGTTCCTCTACCTTACTCTCTGAACCAATAAAATATAGCAGAATGAGGACTTCTTTTGGTTTTGAAGCCTGGTGTTACCCTGTGTTTTTCAAATAAAAATACATATTACCCTGTCTTTTTCAAATCAAGATACATATATGTATGTGTGTATATACATATATATACATAGCAATTTAATATTATTTCTGATATATATACAAAACACTAAATTGCTGCCCAGTTATTAAGCCATAATAACTTATAGGAAATATATTCAAAATAGCAATTCAAAGAATGAACCTTTTAAAAACACTTCTTTGAATTTTTTCAATCAAGAAGGATGATTTGATTTGAGGCACCTGGCTGGCTTAGTAAGAGCACAGGACTCTTAATCTCAGGGACATGAGTTCAAGTCCTATGCTAGATGTGGGGCCTACTTAAAAAAAAAAGGATGATTTAAAAAGGTTTATGGGGCTAGAAGCAATGGGATCCCAGGAACATGTCTGAGTTTGAAAGCCTGTAGAAGGCCCCTTGATGAATAGATTTGGATTTTTGTGGGGAGGGATAGTTGGGCTCTGGTGCAGACTAAGGACATACTAAGCGCTCTGTGCTTCACAGCAGCAAGAAGAAGCTGGCAGTCCTGCAGCAGCAGGTACACTGCCTCTCCCTGCTCTGGCAGCTCTATAACCTGGAGACCACAGCCAGCAGCCACAGGTTTGCCTGCCTCGCCACTCTTATGCAGAAGAATTCTGCTGAGGAGTTTGCAAATGAAGCCCAGGTAGGCAAATCCTTGCTTCACCTCTGGACCTCACTCAGAAACCTGAGATGCTAGGGAGAGAGTTTAGCTTGGCTCTACAATAACCCAGACTTAATGAGACATACTGATCATATGTTTGAGCAGCATTTCTCATATTGCAGCTTTTAGATGGGTTTCCAGGTGTGGCTGTCTATGAGTTCCCTGAACTGAATGTTAGCTTTGGTTGTATATTCAAGAACACTTGGGGAGTGGAGGGAGGTAGGGAACTGGTCATAGCTTTCATCGGATTCTTAAAGAAGTCCATGACCTAAAAAAGGATTCAAATTGCTGACTTAGGAAAAAAGAAGGAAGGGAAATGTCTTCCTAATTTTAGTGTCCATCTATCTATCTCTCTTTTTTATCCATCTGTTCAATAAATATTTGATGAACACCCATTATGTACCGGGCACTGATCCTGGTTTCAGGGAAACAGACAAGAAGAGATCAGTGAAATATATGGAATGTTAGGTGATAATAAATGCAGTGGAGAAATATTAAGTGGAGTCAGGGGCCCGTGGAGTTCTGGGAGCTGGGGGTGGGGTACAGTTTTAAAGTGGTAGGAAAATCCTCAACGAGCTAGTGACATTTGGGCAAGTATCTGAAGGAGGTGAGGAAGTAAGCCACATGGCTATCAGGGAGAAGAGCAGACAGGCAGAAGGCAGTGTGATGCACAAGGTATGCTGCTCATGTTTGAGGAACAGTGAGGAAGCCAATGTGACTAGAAGGGAGAAGACAGAACCAGGAGGTGACCAGAGAGAGCCAGGGGAAGGTGGATGGCAGATGGTGCAGGATGGCAGATGGTGCAGGCCACTATAGGAGTTTGGGCTTTACAGAAGATGGGAAGCAAGTGGTAGGTTCTGAAAAGAGGAGTGACAGAGTCTACTTTTATTTTAATAGGATTATTCTTTCTGCTGTATTGAGAATCAGTTGAAGGAGGGAAGAGAGGAAGCAGGGAGGTAAATTAGGAGGCTATCACAGCAATACAGGCAAGAGATAGTTGGCTTGGATTGTTGTGGTGGCAGAGAAAGCAGGAGGAGTGGTCTTCTGTTAGGAGAGAACCAATAAGATTCACTAAGTTGATGAGTTCTGGGATGGGAAAGAAAGAAGAGTCAAGGATAATCTCACGATTTGCAACCTGGACTTCTGGAGAGATAGAGATGCTCTTAGTTAGGATGGGGCTGTCTGAACAAGAAACATATTTGGGGGGAGATTGGAGCCAGGTTTTAGACATGTTTGAGATGCTTATTAGACATCTAGATGGAGAAGTTAAGTAAGCAGTTGAATATGCAAATGTGGGGCCCATGAGAGAGGTCAGGGAACTGGAAATAGAATTGTAAGGGTTATCCGTGTGTAAAAAGTATTTAAAGCCATGAAACTAAGTGAGCTCTCCCAAGGGAATGAGCGAAGGTCCAAACTGAGGTAACAGCTCCAAGATTAAGAGGTCAGGGTCATAAAGAGACATTGGCAAAAGAAACTGAGCAGTTGCCAAGAGAATATGATGTCCTCAAAACGTAGTGAAGACAGTGTTTGAAGAAGAGAGTCATTGATGTCAAATTGCACATTCTTATAACCGACATGTAGGCGGCAGTTCTGAAGAGTTCTAAGGAACGAGAACAGAGGCCTTCGTTAGAGAAAACATAGAAGTGCAGTTTGGCCAGTGTTTTGAAGGGAAGGTCTAAGACTGGAGAAAAAGGAGGGCAGGTAAAGAAAGCATTTGTTTAAAGATCAGGCAGTGGGAATGATCAGATCAGAAGTGTGGGGGCAAGAAGGAGTGTGTTTCCACAGCGGGAGTTGGGGAGAGTGATAGGGACTCCAGCAGGCCCCGATTACGTGGGCAGTAAGGCCCCATTTGGGCTCTTCATGCAGGAAAGGGACATGATGGAAGTGTAGCGGGAATGTACAGTAGGAACATTTTGCCCCATGTTTGTTGTCCTACAGGTTGTCTCTACCTATGTGGCCCTATCCCAGTTCTCCCAGAATACGGGTGACAGGGACAAGTGGCTGCACTGTGAGCAGATGGCCATTCAGAAAAGCAGCCTATGCTGGTTCTCCAGGGAGGGATTGCTGGCCACGGCCCAGCTCATGCAGGCCTTGGCCTACACCAAGCTCTGCCTCGGCCATCTGGACCTCTCCATCAAGCTGGGTAATGGGGCTTGGCGCTGGTGGGCCTAAGGCTCTTAGAGAGGCCAAGTTCACCACTAGGCCTCACACAGTGCTCTTTCACCTCCTTAGGTTTTCAAGCTCATGAGATATGCAGACACCTCAAGAAACCAGCTCTGGAGAATCTGGTTCTCTCAGTTCTCTTCAGATCTGCATTTCTGAAGAAGAAGTATTAAGAGCATTTACTGCTATTTGTATTTGTTGCCTAAGAGGGGAGGGTATGATCTTCAAAAGAAGTTTGAAATGGAGGGGGAGACACTGTTCCATTTCTTACAGCCAGTGCTGTCTCTTCTCTAGTCACTCCAGGAAGCCTCGTCTTAAGTGTGGGGCTTGGGAGTGGAAATGCATATTCATCCTCCTTCCCACCCCCACTTTGACCCCCTTCTCTTCCTTCTTCATTTCTTCACAAAGAGGTAGGGATTGCAATAGCTCAAGAAAGAACCTAGAAACTGACTCAGAGGCATTTGCCCACTTCCTTTGCTGAGAATCAAGTCTGATCTCAGGCACAGATACTTTCTGTATTAAATAGAACTAAGGCGAGGAGATCTGGGGGATGTTAGAGTACTTTGGAGATGTAAGATCCCCTCCTCTCCTCTACCATCCTCCTCACTCCCTAGTGGGTCCCAGTGGCTCTGTCTCTTGGCAGATTTGATCTGTGTGTCCATGTGCTGGAGTGTCAGTGGGTGCTCATTTCCCATGGTCATGACGTCCTTGGCCTGGCCTGCTTCTATTCTGCTTGCTTAGATCTGCTGCTCTACGGAGAAGGTAAATCTTGTGCAGGGCTCTGCTATATTCCCGAAGGATTCAGACCTCAGCGCCCTGTGTTTGGAACACAGTCATGAGCCTCTCCCTTGGGCATGGCCCCTGCTCCTAGTCCCTGGTTCCTTAAAATCCAGGAACCACATTGTGATTCAGGGTGTCTGTGTTTCAGGTGTTGTCTGCTCCCCTATACCACACACCTTCTATACCAGTTCCTATGCTGACAACTGACCTCAGCCTGGTTACCTTGTCTATCCACAGGATTGCTGTGTCGGCCCTTTGGCGAGTGTCTGCATTTCATTCAACACTGTGAGCACAGCTGCATTCTAAACTCTCAGAGTAATGTCATGCTGGGGGTCCACTCATCTCTGGCCATGTGGTAATGTGGGGTACCAGAGTGTCACTCAGTGGGAAAGGGTAGAAACTTAAGGACATCATGGGGTCATTTAAGCTACTGCCTTTTACCCCTCCAGGCAGGGGGGTATTCTGCATCAGTCCCTATTCCTAAAGACCTTTACCTCCTACCCCCTCCCATCTTATTAAAAGGGTTCTTCTTGTCCCTGGGCAGATTTGGGTCTATAGCTTTAGGGTTAAGTTTAAGGTTACATTTAAGTGCTGATGTCCCACAGTCTCCATTTAAGTCCCCTTCATGTGAGTTAGTAGCCTTGGCCACTGGCCCGCATCACAGTTCTGACTGTCCAGGAGATCTTACAGCCTTAAAGAAGTGATGGCTCAGGGGATGGAGCTGAGAGCTGTGATTCTTCCCTCTAGGTTTGCCCAGGACTCCCAGTGGAATCTCTTTGAGCACCACTTCTCCAAGGCTCGCCATTTGGTGAAAAGAACCAATGCCTCACTATTTGGTTCACATGGCTTTGTCCGATTCCTGGAGTGCCATGTGCTAATGTTACAAAAAATGCCAGACAGTGTCTTCATGCACACTCTGCCAGAGACGTGCAGCCAAACCCTCAAGGTACCTGTTTCCCTACTGTCCTTCACCTGTCACCTAAGTTCTAGTTTGGTCCTGTGGTACCCTTTTTGTTACCTGCATCTCTCCCTTATTCTTCTCCTTGCTGCTTCTGTCTCTCTTTCCTTGTCAAACACTTTTTTCTTCCACCTAGAAAATCTTTCCATGTACCTCATGTACCCTCCCAGATAATCTTGCATGTAGGCCAGGACTGGATTCCCTGACTTTCTGCCTTTGCACAGCTACTACCCACTACCACTAAAATGTTAACATTTAGTACTTCTCAGTGGACCCACTCTGGCTCAGTTTGACACATCTTCCTACAGCCCTGCTTTCTGCATCTAAGGCATTCTGGTTCAACCCTAGCTCAAAACCAACTCTCTGGGACTACTCTGCCATGAGTGCCTCCTCTCTGACCCCCAAACCCTGGGCACATAACTGAGTGGGCACTGTCCTAGGTCCTGGTGGAGCAGAGCGGAGGAAGGACAAATCCATCCTTGACCTCATGGAGTTTCTTCCCCTTTCAGTACTGTAAGGAGTTCTTCTCTCGGTGTGTGACCTGCCCAGTCTATCACCAGTGGGTCTCTGAGCTTAAAGCCTCTGTAATGAGATATGGAAAGAGAGAATCCATGTCCTCAACTAACATCATCAGACCTTTTGACACCTGCTTGGCCAGGATTTGGATAGAGGGAGAATACCTGGAGGAAAACCACTCCTTTGGAGGACATTTAGGAATACAGAGTAAGCATTCATTCCTTGAACCCTAGTCTGAGAGATGTCACAGACAGGTCTGGACCCTTACAGGCAGCTAAAGGCTGCTCCAAAGAAAGAAGGGATGCAAAGCTATGAGGAGTTAGTCCTTGTCCACAGGTAATTATCATCCTCTCACTGGTACCAGGCCCACCCCAGACAGACAGGGCCCTTTTATCAGCCCTTTGTTCCAGCATCTGTAACCCATAAGCAGAGAAAATTCCTCCTTGATCCCAGCTTAAATAACTAAATTGTTTCTATGGAGGAGCTGGATGGTCACTAAGGGAGAAAGAAGGCTTAAGAATCCACAGTGTAATGTCTATGAAGGTAAATGGTAAGATGTGGGCAAGAAAAAGAGGCAAGTTTATAGTTCTTGCCTTGGGGCCCAGCAAATCTCCTTTTCTAGGCCATGAGTTAGATTTGTAATTGCTGAGGACATTCTTTGGGATTTGGGATATTTTTTATGTTCCTCTTTCAGGATTTGACAGAATGGCTGATGTCAAGGAGAATAAGAACGAAGAAGAAATTCAAGAATGTACATGTTAAAAAAAAAGCCATCTGAAGGGACCATGGTTTTCTTGTTGTATATAACACAAAGAAATGACCCAAGTTCTCCCTTTGAAGATACTGCATAGTGGACATATTCAACATATTACCCTTTTACAGTAACCACTATCTATAGCTTTGTCAAAATAAAAGCCTATGTTTCTGAAGCATGAAACTTAGACCTTTCTTAACTCTTAACAGTCATTGGAACAAGTGAGGAAGAAATCAGAAGCAGCGTAGAATGGAGGCCTGGGAGGCTTTGAGATGGACAGATTGCTTCTTCTATAAGGCAAGATCCATTAGCAAATGGAAAACGCAGCCCTAATACAGAGGGTGTGGTTACTTATGGAAAGCTGGCAAAACAAGTGCTTTGATGTCACCCTCTTGGCACAGATGGGGTGATAGGCTCCTAAGAAGTCGAGGAATCTTCTAAGAGGTTCACAGGGCTGTGGGAATCCACGTCTTTTTTGGGGATTCCTACGTGAAACTCAAATTGCCAACATGTACATGACTCTAGCTCTCTTCTTTCTTTATTCTCCCTTTCTAGAGCTGCTGCCTTTAACCTTTATTTGTTTGATGGCCTTTCTTAGACTGAGCCTGATCTTCCTACTGATTTTTTTACACTTTATAACTCAATCATCTAGTGCTTGAAATACATTCTTTAAATCCTTTTATAAAAAAATAAATAAAAATAAATCCTTTTATCTACTCTGTGAAGCAAGTACCTTTTTTTTAAAGATTTTATTTTATTTATTCATGAGAGACAGAGACAGAGAGAGAGAGAGAGAGAGAGAGAGAGAGAGAGAAGCAGGAGAAGCAGGGAGCCCGACGTGGGACTCCATCCCTGGTCTCCAGGATCACGCCCTGGGCCGTGCTAAAACCACTAAGCCACCTGGGCTGCCTGCAAGTACTTAATTTTATCTTCATATTACAGATGAAGAAACTGAAGCTAAGGAAAGTCTTACCCCAGGAGACACACAGGCATAAAATGATGGAGCTGGGATTTGAACTCAGATTTGATTCCAGAGTTCTGCACTAGGCTATAGAGACTTTCGTGGGACCTAGCCTATGGTAAGCTATCCTGTACCCAGTCTTCAATATTCTGTTCAAATGACCATGATCAGAACTTTAAGGACAAGCAAGGAGGTGTTTGGGAAAAGGAGCCCTGTACTGGCCACTTAAATCCTGCTGTCTGGTCTGTACTTTCCCTGTTCCCCCTCTCCCCCACTCCCCCTTTTTTTCCACATCTTATTACTCTCCTTCCTCTCCCTCTACTCCCTCTCTACTCCCCCTTCCATTCCTCTGTCTCTTACCTCCTTTTTCCTTAGTCTTTCTCACCTCTTTTCCTCCTCCACTTCTTTAAATTTCTGAGAGGCACCAGGGATTCTGGAGCCAGACAGCCTGGGTTCAAATTCTAATTCTGCTATTTATTTGCTGTGTTAGCATAAATTTATCTTCTTTATGCTTCAGTTTCCCTTTCTGTAAATAAGGATAAAAACAGAATAAAGAACATCATTGTGATGATAAACATAAAACACTTAGAACAGTATTTAACACAAAGTAAGCACTCAGTGAGTATTAGCTATTATTATCAATTTAATTTTTGTATTTAAACACAGATTATACGGTAATGTGGCAGTTTTCAGAAGGAACAAAGTGTCTAACAGTGAAAGTCTTTCCCATTCCTGCCCTCCAGCCACTAGTCCCCCCTCCCCAGAGCTGATCTGTGTTACCACTTCTTTGTGTATCCTTGCAAAATTATTTGTGCACCTACAAGCAATATCATATATTTACTGCACCCTTCTTTCCCACAAATAGTACTAGTCAACTGTGTTACTCTTTCCTTTTTCTCTTTTCTTTTCTTTCCCTTTCTTTCTTTCTTTCTTTCTTTCTTTCTTTCTTTCTCTCTCTCTCTCTTTCTCTATCTCTCTTTCTATTTTCTGCAATTTTTTCCCTTTTGGCAATTTTTATAATTGAAATAGAACCCATCCTTTCAGAAGGGGAAGTGGGTGGGAAGATAGGGTGACTAGGTGATAGGCATTAAAGAGGGCACACGATGAGATGAGCACTGTGTTATATTTCATGTTCACAAATTGAATTTAAATAAAATTTTTAAAAAATTAAAAAGAATCCACGCTTTAAAAAGACCAACAATTCAGTGGCTTTTAAATTTTTTATTTCTTTTTTATAGTGTTCAATAATCTATCAGTTGTGTATAATACCCAGTGGCTTTTAGCATATCACAAAATTATGCAACCATCACCACTATCTAATTCCAGAACATTTTTATCACTCCAAAGAGGAACTCTCTGCCCATTAGCAGTCCCTACACAATCCCTCTTCTCCCAGCCCCTAGTAACCATCTGTCTCTATGTACTTACCTTTTCTGGACATTTCATATAAATAGAATCATTATATATGCCCTTTGTGTCTGGCTTCTTCCACTTAGCATAATCTTTCCAAGGCTCATCCACATTGTTGTAGCATTCCTTTTTATGATTGGATAGCATTATATTGTATAGATTACACTTCATTTATCCATTCACACCAGCTTATGGAGACATGTGTTGTTTCCACTTTTTGACTGTTATGAATAATACTAGTATAAACATCTGTGTGTAAGCTTTTGTATGAACATATATTTTCAATTCTCTTGAGTATATACCGATGAATGGAATTATTGGGTTATACAGAAACTCTGTGTCTAACTTTGTAAGGAGCTGTCAAACTGTTTCCCAAAGGTGCTATAGTATTTTATAGTCCCATCAGCAATGTGTGAGGATTCCAGTTTTACACAGACTCACCTGGCTAACATGTGTTACTGCTTCTCTTTTTTTAAGATTTTATTTATATATTTTGAGAGAGAGAGAGAGAGAGAGCATGAGCAGAGGGGAGGGGCAAAGGCAGAGGGAGAGAGAGAAAATCTCAAGCAGACTCCATACTGGTCATGGAGCCCAGTGTAGGGCTCAATCACATGACCCTGAGATCATGACCTGAGCTGAAACCAAGATTCAAACGCTCAGCTGACTGAGCCACACAGGTGCCCCTACTTCTCTTTTTGATATAGGCATTCTTGTGGATATAAAGTGGCATCTTATTGTGACGTTGATTTGCATTTCCTTTATGCCTAATGATATCAAACATTTTTATGAGCTTATTGGCCATTTGTCAATCTTCTTGGAGAAATGTCTTTTGGAATCCTCCGCTCATTTTTTATTAGGTTACATGTCTTTTTATTGTTGAGATTAAAGAGTTTTTAAAAATATAATACTAGACCCCATCAGATTTGATTTACACATATTTTCACTCATTCTGTGAATTGTCTTCACTTTCATGATGATGCCATTTTGCAGCAAAAATGTATTAAGTTTTCATGAAGTACAATTTATCTGGTTTCTTTGTTTTTTGGTTACTTGTGCTTTAAGTGTTGTATCTTAGAAATCGTGAAGGTTTACACCTCTTTTTTTCTAAGAGTTTTATATAGTTTTAGTTCTTTTAGATCTTTGATTTATTTTGATTTATTTTTTGCATTTCCAAATTCTTTCTTTGCATGTGGTTATCTACTTGTCTCAAAACTATTTGTTTAAAAGACTACTCTTTTCCCCCCATTTAAATGACACTCTTGTTGACATACGGTTTTGTTAGATGTATGGGTCTACTTCTGAACTCTCAGTTCTGTCCCATTGTTCTCTGTGTCTATCCTCATGCCAATACACACCATCTTGATGTAGCTTTGTAGTAAGTTTTAAAATCAGGAATATGAGTCCTCCAACTTTATCATTCTTTTTCAAGATTGTTAAAACAAGCAGCTAAAGCTGCTCAGGACTCCTTGCATTTCCATATGACTTTTAGGATCAGCTTGTCAATTTCTACAAAAAGGGCAGCTGTAATTTTGATAGGGATTGAGTTGAATCTGTAAGTAAGTTGGGGAAGAATTGCTATCTTAACCATATTAAGTTTTCTGATCCATGAAAATGTCTTATCTTTTCCATATATTTAGGTCTCTTTTAATTTCCTTCAATAATGTTTTATAGTTTTCAATGTACAGATCTTGAACATTTTTGTTTAATTTATGCATAAATATTTTATTATTCTTAGTTCTGTTGTAATGGAATTGTTTTCTTAATTTCATTTTTGAGTTACTACTAGTGCATAGAAATAAAACTGATTTTTGTATATTGATTTTGTATCCTATAACTGCTAAACTCAGTTATGAACTCTAAGTTTTTTTGTAGATTTCTTAGGATTTTGTATATACAAGATCATATCATCTACAAATGGAAATAATTTTACTTCCTTTCCAATCTAGGTGCTTTTTATTTCTTTTTCTTGCCTAATTACATTTGCTAGAACCTATAGTACAGTATTGAATTAAAATGGCAAAAGTGGACATCTTTGTCTTGTTCTCAATCTTAGGGACAAAGCTTTTAGTTTTTTACTATTTTATTTTATTTTATTTTATTTTATTTTATTTTAAATATTCTATTTATTCATGAGACAGACAGAGAGAGAGAGAGAGAGAGAGAGAGAGAGAGAGAGAGAGAGGCAGAGACACAGGCGGAGGGAGAAGCAGGCTCCATGCAGGGAGCCCAACGTGGGACTTGATTCTGGGACTCCAGGATCACGCCCTGGGCCAAAGGCGGTGCTAAACCTCTGAGCCACCCAGGCTGCCCAGTTTTTTATCTTTTTAAAGTATGAAGTTAGCTGTGAGTTTTTGTAAATGCCCTTTGTCAGGTTGAGGAAATTCCCAGATCCTCCTACTTTGTTGAGCATTTGTGTGATGATAGGGTATGGATTTTGCCAAATGCTTTTTCTATGTTGAGAGGATCATGTGTTTTTGTTCCTTTTTCTATTAATATGGTATATCTTAGTGATTTTAATGTATAAAAACAATTTTGTATTCCTGAGATAAATCCCATTTTTTCATGGTATATAATCCTTTCTATTTATTGCTAGGGCCTATTGGCTAGTATTTTGTTGAGGATTTTGGATCTCATTCATAAGAGAGATGTTGTTCAGTAGTTCTCTTGTGATCTCTTTGTCTGGTTTTTGCATCAAGGTAAAACTGGCCTCATTGAATGAGTTGATAAATGTTCCTGCCTCTTCTATTTTTTGGGAACAATTTGTGAAGGATTGGTTTTAAAACTCTTTTAATGTTTGCTAGAATTCACCAGGAAACCATCTGGGCCTGGGCTTCTCTTTCTGGCAAGTTTTTTGATTATTAATTAAACTTCTTTACTTGTAGATCTGTTGAGATTTTCTATTTAATCTTGAGTCAGTTTCAGTAATTTGTGTCTTTCTAGGAATTCATCCATTTCATCTAGGTTATCTATTTTGATGATAAACAATTGTCCACAATTTTCCTTATAACTCTTCTAATTTCATAAAGTCAGTAGTTCTCCTTCCACTTTCATTCCTCATTTAGTAATTTGAGTTTTATCTTTGTTTTTTTTTAAGCTAAGAAAATAACCTCAGCTAAGATTTGTCAATTTTGTTAATCTTTTCAAAGAATCAACACTTAGTTTTGCTGGGTTTTTTTCTTTTTCTATTCTCTATTTCATTCATTTCTGCTCTAATCTTTACTATTTCCTTTCTTCTGCTTGCTTTGGGCTTAATCTGTCCTATTTCTAGTTGCTTCAGGTGGAAATTTAGGTTTTTGATTTGAGATCTTTATTCTTTTTTGATATAGGTGTGTACAGCTATAAATTTCCCTCTAAGCACTGAGTTTGCTGAATCCCCTAAGCTTTGCCATGTTATTTTTGTATTCATTTCTCTTAAAGTATTTATAATTTCTCTTGTGATTTTTCTTTGACCCATTTGTTATTTAGAAGTGTGTTGTTTAATTTCCACATATTTGTGAGTTTCCAAAATTTCTTTTATTTCTAATTTCATTCCATTATACTCAGAAAGCATATTTTGTATTATTTCAATCCTTTTAAATTTATGGAGAACTTGTTTATAGCAGATATATAGTCTATTCTGGAGAATGTTACATGTATACTTGAGAAGAATATGTATTTTGCTGTTGTTGGGTGGAGTGTTCTACCGATGTCTGTTAAGTCTCCTCCCCCTCCTTGCCCCCCTCTTCTCTTCCTTCCCTCCTTCTCCTCCTTCAGAGAGAAAGAGAGCAAGCAGAGGGAGGGTAGAGACAGAGAGAGAGGGAGGGAGAGGATCCTAAGCAGGCGCCATGCTCAGTGCAGAGCCCAGTGCAGGGCTCAGTCTCATTGCCTGAAATAATGACCTGAGCTGAAATCAAGAATTGATGCTTAACTGACAGCTACCCAGGTGCCCCTGGAAGAGAGAATTTAAGGAGGGCATGTGTTATAATGAGCACCAGGTGTTATATATAAGCAATGAACACTAAATTCTACTCCTGAAACCATATGACACTATATGTTAACTAGAATTTAAATAAAAATTTGGAGAAAAAAGAATAAAAATAATTTTCTGAGTTCTTTAACCATTTTCCTTTAAATCATTCTCAGTGGGGATCCCTGGGTGGCGCAGCTGTTTGGCGCCTGCCTTTGGCCCAGGGCGCGATCCTGGAGACCCGGGATCGAATCCCACATAGGGCTCCCGGTGCATGGAGCCTGCTTCTCCCTCTGCCTATGTCTCTGCCTCTCTCCCTCTCTCTGTGACTATCATAAATAAATAAAAATTTAAAAAAAATTTTTAAAAAATCATTCTCAGTGTACTCTTAATTTGCATTTGTTTCCCTTAGATGAAGTTAAACATCTTTACTGTGTTTATATTTCCTTTTTTTGTGAACTATTTGTATATACCCTATTTAGTATTTGTTTTCTAATTGATTTATGGGGTTAAGGAAATGAGCCTGCTGCCTTTGTTTTAGTTATAGAATTTTTCCTCATTTTGTGTTTTGTCTTTGTTTATTGTGCTTTTGTCATGGAGAAAAAGGTCAGTCTTGACTTATTTTAATATGTCAGTTTTATTTAATAATATATATATGGCTTCTGAGTTTTGTATAATAGTTTAAAGAGCATTTTCCTCACTAAGGTATTTTAGCTATTTCCCCATGGTCTTTCAAGTATTTTTTTTAAAATCTATTTTATCAAAACATAATACGGGATGCCTAGGTGGCTCAGTGGTTGAGCATCTGCCTTTGGCTCAGGTCATGATCCCGGGGTCCTGGGACTGAGTCCTGCATTGGACTCCCCATGGGGAGTCTGCTTCTCCCTCTGCCTATGTCTTTGCCTCTCTCTGTGTCTCTCATGAATAAATAAATAAAATCTTTAACAAAAACACAAAATTTATGTGCAAGAAAGTGCAACTATTTTAATGATTAGTTTTGACAAATATATACACCCATGTAACTGCTACCACAGTCACAATAGAGAACATTTCAGTCACCCCAAAAACTTATTTCAGGCTTCTCTTACACTCATTCTCCCCACCCCAACCACCACCACGAGCACAAAATACTCATTTTTTTAATTGTCTTTATATTTGTTATTATTTTTCACTTGTCATTTCTTATTTCATCCTTCTTTTTGAGTAAGTTAGCTAACACTTTGTCTCCTCATTTCATTTCAAAGAATAAGCTCTTTTATTTATGTATTAGTTATATAATTTTTTCCTTTAAAATGAACTAGCAATTTGAGTAAGATGCTTAATTCTCTTTGAAGGTGTGACTTTTCTTCTGAGAACTTCTTTATCTGCATTCCAAATGTTCTGATATGGAACAATGGGCTTGTCATGTTACCTGCACTTTCTTTGCTTTGTTTTCATGTGTTTCTTAGAACAAAATTTAGAATATCCGTATTTTGATCTCAGAAGTTACTTTTATAACTCAGATTCTGGTTGGTAGTCATAGACTTCTACCATGAGCAATAATGGAATTAATATATTTCCCCTTCCTCTTTCCCTCTTCTCTACCAGCCAATTGATCTTATAATTTTCCTTTGTATTGTTTAAATACACTTTTACTTCTGTTAGGTTCTAAAAGGTTTAAACTACAATTCAGACCAGAGTAAGTTTTTCCCAGAGGGGTTCTTTATAGACTTTATTCTGCCCTTCTCCTGCATTCTCTCCCCTCCCTCATCACCTCTCCTCCCCATCAGGGAAGTCCCTAGTCATCTTAGCCAGGGAAAATGAGGCCTTGGTTGATTGATGGGTGGGCAGCTTCTGCCTCCACAAGGGACAGAAGTAAATTTAGGTTCTGTTGCTGAGACTATCAGGGGAAGCTCAGAACATCCTGCCAGAGCTCCCTGAAAATAGCAACATTGGCCTTATCCAGCTGGACTCCAGGGGACAGACCCCGCCTATCCCTTCTCAGGTGCCTAAACCAAACTCAAAGTCCCTCCAGATGGTGAAAACCTCTTTATGAATAGCTTCCAGGACTGTAAAAATAAGTTCCTGGAGCACCTCATCCTCTTCATCTGTCTGTCATCTCAATATGTGCAAATAGTTTCAAATTGAACGTTTTCAGTAGAAATTCTGAGAACTTAAAGGCCCTTCCATCCCCAGATTGGACAAGCTTTCATTTACCCTTGACAATGACCACACCTTTATCATTTATTCTTCCTATGCCATGCCTTTTCTCTACTGGGCTCTTTCCAGGCTCCAGATTTCAGGCCAAAGGGAACAGTGCTACCAGATGTCCACTCAATTGAGGCACAGCCAGCTCTGATAAAGTTTTTATCTCCTGGTACTTGAAATTCCTTTGTCCTGCCAAGGAATAGGCTTAGGATTTTTTAAAAAAGATTTTATTTATTTATTCATGAGAGACACAGATAAAGAGATAAAGAGAGGCAGAGACACAGGCAGAGGGAGAAGCAGGCTCCATGCAGGGAGCCCGATATGGGACTCGATCCCAGGTCTCCAGGATCACGCCCTGGGCCAAAGGCAGATGCTCAACCGCTGAGCCACCCAGGCATCCTGATTTTTTTTTCGGTTTCTGATCTTACTCCTATTTCTTTTAATTTTTTAATTTAAATTCAATATAATTAACATTTGGTGTATTATTAGTTTCAGGGATAGAATTTAGTGATTCATCAGTTGCATATAACACCCAGTGCTAATTATTTCAAGTGCCCTTCTCAATGCCTATCACCTAGTTACACCATCTTCCCCACCCACCTCCCCTCCAGCAACCTTCAGTTTGTTCCTTCAACATCACTCCTATTTCTTTTCAGCTCCATCTTTCTCACCCCACCTGTCCTGAGTCTCCTTTCACTTTATCATTATCCCTTCCTCCCATCATATGTTGTCACACCATAAAACGCCACTTGTTTAAAGGTGCAGAGCTGAAGGCAGAAGAGATTTCTAGACTCAAGCTAATGGCTCTATAATTTAGGTACCATGAGAAAGACAGGAAATACTTTTGAAGAAGGCTTCTTGATGCCACGTGAATCAAACTGTATCACAGTACTCTGACCAGAGAATAAAACCATGTCCCTACTGATAAAACAGGCAGGAGATCACACAGCAAAAACTCTGGACCAGAATCTTCAGTTCCCAGGTGATATGACTAAGCAAATCCGTCCCTTTCCTTCCCACTCAAACATCAAGAGCTCATATAATATCATTCAGAATTTATTTAGTTCAGTGGTATAACTGCAGAGGAACAAGCATGGGGGACTCCCAAGACACCTCAGTCACATTTAAATATCACTTTCCAGGTCAGAAAAGTCAAGATGTTAGATTAGATCCTAAAGTCCCTACTGCTCTGATATCATAAGGGTCTAGGGCTTGGGCTGGCTAGCTGGATGCACAGAGCTTTGGGGATGGTCTTTGTGAGTGTACAGTATGATGAACAGCCTAGCTGGGTGGCATTTGACCATTCAGCAGATCCTGAGCTGGCTCACAGGAGGCTCCTCCACCCTTGTCCCTTCCAGGAAAGATGACTGTGGCATATGTCACAGGCTTGGAGCACATCAGGACCTTAGGAGGCAGAGGGGGCGATGAGGACTGGGCTGGGGGTGGGGTTTTCTCTGATGAGGGATCAAGAGGTACACTATAGGTGATATTGTCAAAGGAAGGTGGTGAGTCGAGCCTAGCATATGGAATGTCCGATGGCAAATCAAGTCCCAATCCAGAGTCGCTGATACAGTGGGCTACTGATGAGGAGGCCTGTAACAAAAGCAAAGAAGTGAGGCAGAGAGAAAATGCCTCCTTCTGCCCCAGTCCCCTTTGGGAGGAAGCTCAAGACCACACTGGATCTGTTTCTCAAATCCTGGGTATGTCAGTGGGCAAGAGGGCTTCCCTTTAAAGATTTTCAAGCCCCAACTTCCTCTTTAAATTGGGGAGGGTGAAATACCAAAGTGGAAAGGTGGAAGACAACTGGTACCAAGTTTACAGCATTTAAGAAGAAAGTATGGACTCTAACTGGGTCCCCATCTTTCTTCACCCTCTCATCCTGGGGCTTCTCAGTGAACCTGGCAGATGGAAGGTCTGGAGAATTTGGCTCTTACCATGCCTGGAACTCCGCTGCTCTGAGATTGGCTACGGACACCAAGCCTGTTCCCTGGGAGGACAGAGGATGGCCTCACAGTCAGCTTTCCATCCTGGCTCAAAACACACCCCCTCACTCCCTTCAGAAGTCCCTGAAGCCTCTTTCCTGGTCCAGACCCTTCATCCCACTCCTATGAGCAAACTTTCCCCACTGCCTTCCCAGTTCCACCCCAACCTGCCAGGAGCCTCCCCACCCACTTACTGCTTCCAGCTCCCTTCATCCTGCCTCAGCACTCACCCTGTCTCCTGAAACCCTTTCTGAACCTCCTCCAATCACTTGCCTATCCCACTGCCCACCCTGTCCAATTCCTGTCTGTCCCTCGCTGGCTCCCACTGAATCTCCTTCTTCCCCTCCATCCCTCAGCCAGGAACTTCTAAGGCCTGGGAGCCTTACCAAAGCCCAAATAAGCCCATCCACAGGAGAAACAGACCTAAAGTCCCAGCATTGTCTACAAGACTAGCTGGTACACCACCAGCAGGGCTGTGCTGGGGTAGGCAGGTAAACGGCTACCTACCTTTCCTCTTGGCCATCACAACAAACAGCACGACTGCTGCCACCAGCAGGCCCAGCAGGAGCACAGCGCCCCAGATCAAGGGGATGCTGAAGGACATAAAGGGATAGGTGAGCTCAAGCCTGAACCTGGCAGGAAGCTGCTCACCAGGAACTCTGGAGCAGTAGAGAAGGGTACCGCTCTTGGTGAGCCATGGTTTCAAGAAGAGGATTTGGGGAATGGAATGAGGAGGGCAGACAGAGGGCAGAAGAGAAACACATTACCAGGGTATCCTGGCTGGAAACTACCAGGATAAAGGGATCATTGCTGAACTGGAATAGACAGGTGAGTCTGCCTGACTTCCTGCCAGATCAGAAGCTTCCCAGGGGTGGAAGGAACCATAAGGTTTCCCCTTAAGTTAGCCCGGGGCTCTGAACAATCTTTCACCCCCTTTCCCACCACCACCCTTTTCCCGGCCACCAAATACAGCTCTTGTCAGTACCTCTTCTCATCCTGGCTGGGTTCCACAGGGCTGGCACTGCCCACAGTGTCTGAGGGGCCATCATCAGCCAGACTCCCAGCCTTATAGGTTTCCTCCTCTTTCAGGCTAGGAGCTGAGTCAGAAGGAAATATTAATGAGCACATACCCATGGTGGGCAGGGGCATGGGCCTGAGATCTGAGGGATGGGAGAGTGGAACCGAGGAAGAAGAGGTCCCAAGTAAGAAACACAGATGGAGGCTTGGCATATTCCTTAGGGGCCCTCATTCTGGAGATCATGGATGGTCTCCTTCTGTCTTTACCTGGTTGCAAATAGGCCCACTTTCTCTTCCCCCACCAGTTCCTACCCCTTGCCCCTGCCTTCCTTCACCTGCTCCCCCACACCCCCTGGTCTACCAGGCTGCTCAGACTATGCTGAATCAGCCACTGGGTAATCTGTTCTCACCTCCCCACCCCAGAATAGGTTTTCCACTCTCATCCTCAGTGGCAACCTCACTGCTGGCGCTCATCAGTTGGTCTCTAAAGGGGCCTCAGCACAGCCTGCTAGACCTCTCCACATATCTGCAACTGTGTGACCCCCCACACCCCTGCAGGATGAAGCTCTGCCCCCAGCATCTAAGGAATTCCAGGGTCACCCCTAATGTGACACAGTGTCAAGTTACCCTTGCTGACAGCCTTACTCAGACCCCAAGACTCGGTTTTGTGACACGTCTTCTATCATCCTTACAACATGCTCAACTTCCGGCTGTGGGACTCATGGTTGGTTTCTCTGGGCCTGAGGATCTGTCTTGGGAACCTGGCCAGTCCTTCTAGACCCTGGGGATAGGAGTCTTCCTTGTTCTCAGAGGCTCATCATTCCTTCCTCCCACCCCAAGCCAAACCAGGATCTGGAGATGCTGTGTCTTCCATTTGGCTGCATGTGTCCTGGCCTCCTGGTGCCTTTTAAGCCATCCACATCCTCCCTGAAAACCATGCTCCACCGGCTGACCTGAACATCCACCCTCTACAGCTGTTGGAGCCCTGGCACCTGCCCATCAACCCAGTGCATCCTGTCCCACAAGATGGAGTTCTCAGACCCTAGAGTGTCAGGAAAGGAGGAGGACAGAGGACAACAAGGACCACCAGGAGCATATTTATAATATTAAGTAATAATCATGGGCCAGAGATGAGGGATTCTGATGACAACTTAGTCCATAAGTTGGACTAATCAACAAATAGGGGAAAAACAAGAAAAGGAAAAATGCCTTTCTTCATTTCATTATTTGGGGATTGGGCACAAATTACTTGAGAAAGGAACACCTGAAAATGAAAAACTGTCATCATTCATAAGAGAAAGGTAGTAGTAGCAGTCTCCACTTCTATGGGCAGCCGGCCATTTTCCCTCCAGAACATTTTTTTTAACAACATCCAATTTTTCTGGAAATTGTTTTCTTCTACTTTAAAATTGTAATTTAATAAGTGCTTAGAGATTAGAAAGTTATAGCCTGTGAGAGAAAACCACAACCTATCAAATTGCTTCTGTACTGAAATAGGGTTGACAATACTAGCTTAACTATTAGTGAGATTTTCTTCATTTTTAAAAATTATTTATTTGGACGAGAAAAGAGAAGTGGGGAGGGGCAGGGAGAGAGGGAGAAGCAGACTCCCCACTGAGCAGGGAGCCCAATGCAGAGCTTAATTCCAGGACCCTGGGATCATGACCTGAGCCAAAGGTAGACAGACGCTCGACCGACTGAGCCGCCTAGGTGCCCCATATTCCATATTTTTAAAACTAAATGAGTTGAAGTAATTCAGGCACTGACTGCACCCTGCTTGAAGTGAGGCACACACTAGATGCTCAATGAAGACATAAAATTGAATAAAATATGGATTCAGTAATTTTAAGCCATCAAACCCATTATAACAGGAGTAATAAACCAGAAGATTTAAAAAATGAATTCCAGTTGATATGCCCAAATTAAAACTTCATTTAAAAAAAATATCATCAAGTATGTTGAAAATAGTGAATGAGGAGGCCATGGGTGAGGAAGGACGATATGCCTTCTGATGGGAAACCGGCTAGTTGCAGGAGGGGGAAGGGACCCGCTGTCTGGCTGTTTTATCTCTGACTGCTCACCCCACTTGGTTTCCGTTCCCTGAGGAGCCATAAAAAATATCTCCTCCCAATTCCTACCCCCTAAGGGTCCCCATCCCCCAAAGACCCAAGAGGCAGCTGGGGAGGGGCAATGGCCACCTAGGATGACTCACCTGGAGGCCTCACCTCCAGAGCGACTCTGTGCACCGTCTGGGACCCCTTGGTACCGTCCACCACGCAGCCGTACTCGCCAGCATCCTCCTTCTGCAGGGCGATCATCTCCACCTGGAGCAGGCCGCCCCCCAGGTCTGTGAGAAACATGCGCCCTCCCCCTGGGGCTCTGCGGTCCACGGCTGAGGACACCAAGGGCTGGCACCCCTCTGGTGAGAACCGGCACCACACCTTCCGAGCCTTGACATCCTGGAGCCGGTAGTGGCACTGCACCAGGATGGAGCCACCGACAGGTGCCTCCAGCACCTCGGGGAAGGCAGCACTTGAGCCCTGGCCTGGAGAAGGAAAGGCTGTGGGAAGGCAGTGCAGGAGCTGAGGGGACAGTCCAGCCACTGCCACAGGGGGATAGGGACGGAGAGGTTCACCTTCTGGGCCCTACATTGCCATGATAATGCCAATCATTTCTGGGCCTGGAGCAGAGCGCATGGGGCCCAGAGTGCAGCCCCTTCACCTTACCTGCCAGTCCCAGGAGCAACAGCAGCAGCAGGTTGGGGCCCATGGCAGGTCAGGCAGATGTCAGCTCTGGGGCTTGCCTGGCCACTGACACAGCGTTCCCCAGGGAGCAGGAAACAGCTGCCTCCGACAGTCACATGGGACCCCACATGACAGGCCGTGTGGTGGGAGGCAGGCACTGGGGGCCCCTCCGTCGGTGGGAGCAAGGCACCCTTCCAAAACCCGGTTGGTTCAGTGCTTGGGAACTGACCGTGAGGGTACGGAGGGGTGGGCAAGGCAGGGTGAGAAGGCCCAAGAACAAAGCCTAGGCTCCTGGTCCCCGGCTAGGGGATGAGGTAGGACAAGATCGTGGTTAACTGGAAAGCAAGAAAGAAAGAGTGAATAGAGTCCTCAGGGTCTTTCAAAGATAGGATCTGAGGGTGCAGAGCCATGGAGGAGGAAGGTGGGGCGTGATTTTTGTTCTCAGGTCTGTAATGAGCACACCATCCCGAGCTCTCGGGAGACTGTCCTGTCCTGCCGCATGACCTCGCAGCAGGGGCACCCACTCTTCCGGCACCCTGGCCGGGACTGGCCCTCATCTACTGTGCCAGGTGCTCTTGAGACCTGGCAGTGAACACCCACACCCTCCAGTTCTGCATCCTTTGCTAATGACACTTCATTTCCTTTCCCCCTGTCTTCCGGAACTCCTTAACTAGTTGAATACCGAACCTCATGGATTCATCTCATTTCCCTATCCTTTCTCCCTCATTTTCCCATCTTTTTGTCCATTTTGTTCTGATTCCTAGAAGACACCCTCATCCTTTTCTCCCATCATCTATGATTGTCTTTTAAGTGTTTATTTCCTTAGTACTTTCAGTTTACAAGATTGCTTATTCTCCAAACATCCCATAGGACATATTAGTTTTGTTTCATGAATGTACTAGCCTCTCTGTTGGGAGAAAATTCTCCATGGATATTTTCACGTTTCTGCATGATCCAGGCACAGATCAAGCTTTGGTCTAGTGTGATCGAATAGCAAACATACCTCGAAAGTTAGAGAGAATGTATCAGCTCCAGACTGGACTTGCTTAGGCACCCCGGCCTCTTCCCTCCAGAAGATCTATCTACCTTCCAGAGTAAAGGTCTCTCTCTCCCAAGAAAGAAAGATGGGTGGATGCTGAATATAAAACTCCAAGCCTTATACCTGGAGGTTCCTCTCCTGTGACACAAGTCCACTGTCTGCACAGGAAACATTTGGCCCCTATTCATGCCGTCCTGTGCAGAACTGGGGTTTGGGGGTTAAGGAACTTGCTTTGGGTTTCTTAGTAGAAAGCAAAGTTGAAACTTGAAATGATATTACCTGACCCCCTTCAGTCCCATGTGTGCTCCAAAGAGTCCAAGGCAGGGCATCCCAGTGGTGATCTGTACACTGCAGGGGGGTGGGGGGCGTCTCCAATGTGGCAGAGGAAGAAAGAGAAAAGGCCAAGCTCTCAAGAACTACAGTGCCGCTCATGGGGGACCCTCCCCTGCCCTCTTGTTGGCGTTGGTACAGGCAGGTGGACAGGCTCGCTCTTGGCTGCTAGACTGTGCCACAGGCCTGCAGGAAGGGGACAACAGCCTGTGACATGATGAGGAAGCTTGATGTGCTGCTGAGTCCGAGGACTCGGGACATGTAGCCAGGACCAGTGTCTCAGAGCTGGGGACAGGGCCAGCGCAGCAGCCTCCACAGGGAGTGGGCCAGGCAGAGCTGGGCTGGGCTGGCTCGGGGGGATGCTGTGTAGACATGGGCTAGACACAGGGCTGCTTCAGGGGGGTCCATCCCAATGATCTGAAACCCCAGGAGCCCATGCACATGGTAGGGGGCAAAGCAGCTGCATGTGGCCCTGGCCAACAGGGGCTCCTGGCCATCTACCTTGCCAAGACCCCGGATGGGACCGCCTCGATTCCTCCCCTTCCTGCAGCTCTCCTTGGGCAAGTCTCCATCCTCTTGCCCTCTCTCATGGCTGCTATGGTGTATGTGTTTTCGGGGGAGAGATGAGGTTCACGAGGCGCCCTGGCTGTCCCTCTGCCCCTGAAATACTCGTGGTTCACTTCCTCAGCTCCTCCCAGGGCTTCTGCAGTGGTTCCTACTGATGCCCTCCAGAATGACAGTCCTTTCTGCACTCCCAGTGTCCTAGTCTGGCTTCGTTGTCATCTGCTCCTCAGCACTTCATCTTTTAGCATACTGGCTGACTCATTTATTGTCTCTCCCCTCCCACTAGTCCATGGCTCGGTGTGGGCAGAAATCTTTGCCTCTTTGCTTTACTGTCATGTTCCCGGCACCTAGAATGGTATCTGGCACAGATAATGTCTGTTGAATAAATAAACAAATAAGTGAGTAAGATTGAGCTAGAAGGAAGGGCAACATGAACATCAAGTGAAATCTGGACTTCCAGGCTCTGCTGGCGACTTGGGGTGATGTCTGTTCCTTGCGAGCCTCATTTTCCCTTCCGTGTAGCAAGGGGCTCAGACCAGGAGTTCCCAGCTCCGGTTGCTACTGTGTAAGTCAAGCCCCGGGTGTTTGGCTGTTAGGGGAAGCAACCAGAAAGAAAGCCCAGCTCTGGGGAAATGGGTGGATGAGTCAGCTGGGAGTTAGATGGACCAGTGTGGGGGTGGGCAGCACGATTCCTAGGGAATCGATGAACAGACGCAAGGAGAGGGGAGCCAAACTTGGATGCTAGAGAAATCCCAGAGGAGGATGCAGGATTCAGGAATTAGATCTAGGGAAGGAAGCGAGAAGAAACAAAACCTCGGCGATGTGGAGCCTGCAAGAATGAAGGCATGTAGTAGCCCAAGGCTCGAGGCCCCAAGGAGTCAGACTTTTCATCTATTCCTCACCCCAATTCATTCTCTTGGCCCTGTAGCAAGAGAGAGACCTCCACGAAGCCCCAAACCATCCAATTAAACATGAAGTCTTGGATTTATTTGGGACAGTGTTTAATGTCCAATGTCTAGAAGTTTGTACATGTTCCTCCCATTTTCCAGGTGCATACACACACACACACACACACACACACACTCAAGGAAGCAGGGGATGGGTAGGGCGGCCTTTTGCCAAAGCAGACCCAGGAGCCTTGGTGGCCAAGGGGTAAGTGCAGGCTGGGGTGGTTCCAGCAGAGCCCCTTTCCAGGTGAGGTCCTCTTCTCTCACATGTCTCTCTGCTCTGTAACAGATCTTGTGCTCACATGGGCGCCTCTGCACCCCACCTCCCCACCCCTGCCCAGTCCGCCCCCCCCCCCCCCGCCACCGCTGTGCTCACCAGGCTCACCTGTTAGGGTCTGGAGCTGATAACCTGGGTCACAGCTGCAATCCAGCTCACTGGCCGGGGGTGTCCCCAGTTTCTGCCCACGCCAGGCCGCAGCCCAGAGGGCGCTAGCTGCTAGAAACTTGCTGAGAAAGATGCAGGCCAGGAGGAAAAGGATGGAAGTGGGAGGGAAGGGGATCTCCTCTTCGGAGAGGCTCCTTGGAAACACAAGGAGGACATGAGGGAGGCCTGGGGGAGGCTCACACACTGAAGTCTGCCCTCAGAGGAGGAACAGGGCCACTCCGGGACCTCTTGGGGGCCTGGAGTAGTCCCCCCACCCAGCACCAGCCCTGGGATGAGGATTTGCGGGCTTCAGGGAACCTGTAATCAGGAGACCTGAGTTCTAGGTTTGGATCCACCTACTGAGCACATTTAAACATGTCCCTTGCAGGGCAGTTTCCTGCTGCGCGGGAGGGGAGAGCATGGGGGTAGATGCCCATACACATACCCTGTGCTGATATTAACAATATTTCAACACCAGTACATGGGAATGAATCAATCAGAGCTGATGCTGGTCCTACCAAAGAAGCAGGCATCTGGGGGTCCCAGCTTTGTACTAAAACTTTTATTGTGGGGATGTCCAAGGGCTCCCAGGGAGGAATGGGAAGCTGACCATTGACCATTCAGGGGTTTTAAAGCAGCTGCTATATATATATATATATATATATATATATATATATATATATATATATAAAGAATTTCAATATTTTAACAACTGACATGGCCATACTAACACACAATGGCTGGTTGGAGGGGTGTTCAGACAAATCATCTCCAGGCCCTTTCATGCTCTCTCAAATTGTCTTGGAATTTGTAGTTACTTCTAGGGCCCCAGCTTCCATCCCATGCCCGGGCTCTGCAGGGTGGAAGTCTGCCCAGAGACCTTAGCAAAGACCCATCTCTGTACCTGGAGATGCTGGGCTCCACGTGGGCATCCTCGAAGCCCTTGGATTCCTCAGGGATCCAGAGATCTCCAGGGTCCAGGTGATCAAGGGGGTCTGTGGGAGACAGAGGCTGTAAGCTTCTAGTCCCTCCTAACTTCAGGCAGCTGGTTGTAGTAGGGGGAAACCTGTCCAGCTGTGGTGAGGCCCCCTGGGCTCTGACCTGGAGCTGATCATGTCATTAGCTTCTCTGAGCCTCAGTCTCCTCACCTGTAAAGTGGGTCGAATAGAAACACCTCCTTTACAGTAGTGTTGTAGGATTCAGTGAGAGCGCCCTATATAGTGCTTAGCACCTCATCAGAGCTTGGTAGCTACATCTCCTACCCTCCCAACACACAGGGTCTTTGGGAAGGTCATATGGATGAATGGGTGTACTTGAAAGTTCTGTGTGAACTGTCAAGCAGTCTGCACCAGCTATGGATTATTATTATACTATTATATTCCTGCCACCCCCTGGGGAGTTGGCTGAGGCTCAGACCTGGATAGGGCTGAAAATTTGTGTCTCTTCACCCTCTCTTCCCATGTAGAAGAGTCGTGGACTTGGGGTTTGGGTCTAGGGCGAACTGTCTCCCCTCCCTTTCCCTGCTTAGAACTTAGACAAATGGCTCATTTCCACCATTAGGAGCCATGTTGCGGGGCGGGGGGGAGAGGTAGGAAAGGAGGAGAGTCTGAAAGGGGACTTGGCCCCCCCACACACAGATTTTTCCTCCTTTGGGACACAGTGTTCTGGAGACATAGGCAGAAGGCTTCCCTGGGGAAGCTCAGAGGTGGGGAGCACCCCGCTGTCACCCCACCTCCGCCTCACCTAGGCAAGCCTGGCATGAGGATCCCAGGTCAGCTCAGCAGCAGGAGGCTGGGGAGTGGACTGTCACTTACCCCCCAAGCACTTTTAACTATGTCACCTCATTGGCGCCTCACGGGAGCCCTGTGGGGGCAGCAGGACAAATGTCCTCCTCTCCATTTAAAGATGAGGAAGTGGAGGCCCAGAGAGGTGAAGCCCATCACCCGGGGTCACAAGCAATGCCCCTTCCTCAGGCTGTTTTCTGCACCAGGTTGGTGCTTACTTTACGTTTGTAGGTCCTTTGGGTAATTGGATGAGGGAGTAAATGAACCTCCTCCTACTCCTTCAGGACCACTTTATAGTATTCACATCCTAACTGGATGCCAGATGGATAAAGCTCTTTGGGGAGGCAGGACCACAACCAGCTCATTTGGTTCCATATACAAATTAGAGGTAGGGACCCTTCCTGCCAGTGTTGCAGTCCTGTACCAGGGAGCACAGCCTGGAGAGGGGCTCCAGGGCTGGCATGTGGCCCCCTTGTGCAGTGAGCAGGCTGCAGAACCATCCACCATGACCCTGAGTGGGAAGGCAAGAGCTGCACTGTGGGTTTCCCCAGGTTCCCCAGAAATCTAGAGGGTGGTCCTGTGCACAGACATCAGAGACATAGTCCCAGCCCAGGGGTGGGCCAGAGATGCAGTCACCTTCCTACTCACCAGCCAGCACCTCCACCAGGACCTCCCTGAGGGTGTCGGCCTCATCACCATAGAGACTCTGGCACTGGTAGAGGCCAGCATCATGGGCTTGAAGATTCCGCAGCGTGATGGTGAGTGTGCCACCCAGCGCATCATCCACGATGGCCGTGCTTCCATTCCACCTCTTTAGGAAGGACAGCAGCCACGAACGGTGGGTGCTAACGACCCGCTGGCATGGACCCTCTTTATCCACCTGGCGGCACCAGGCTTTACGTCTCCCCCAGTGCTTCAAGGAGTTGTAGGGACAGGAGACCTGCAGGGCCCGGCCTGCCATACCCTGGAACACCGTCGTGTTGTGGGCTCCAGACAGCTCTGGGAAGGAGACGGTCATTCACTCTTTGTTCGTTTACCAAATGTTTATCAAACACTTACGGTGCGCAATGAACGAAGAGATAGACATCCTGCCCTTAAGGAGCTCAGGGTCTTATATAAGTCAGGAGAAAGTGCACAGCCTACCGTGACAGCCAGGTCCTAGGTCTGGATTTAACCCTATTGGACTTGCTGGGCAGTTTTAGAGAAGTAACTGACCCTCTCTGGGCCTATTTCCAGAGATGTTGGTCTTAAAGTTCCCTCCAGTTCTATTCCACACATTTTCTCCCTATCATGTGAGACCAAGGCCTGTCCTCCACCCTCTCCATCTCAAGAGAGCAGGGCCAGTGGCCCCTCAGCCTGGGCAGGATACCCTCTCCTTGCCCTGGGCATTCGTGCTTACTCTGCAGCTGCCCACACTAGTACCGGCTCTGCATCTCCCCCTTCTGACCCTTAGCTCCCAGCTTCCCTATTTCTGTGAATTTGTTCCCCTTTCAAGAGAGACTCATCTCAGAGCTATTTTGGGGGAGACATATGAGGCTGCTATTTTGGGGACCCTTCTTGGAGCAAGGGAGATAGGCTTAGAGCACAGTCTATTGCCAGGGCAGAGCCTGCAGAGGAATTACCCGGAGTCCTCTACCTCAACTTACCCTCTCTTGGTCCTCCTTTACCCTATTTCAACCATATGGTGACAGAAACTTGGAAGACAAGATTAGGGAGTGGGTGGCCTGCTTTTTGGAAGCAGAGACACTGGACCTGATGAGAACAGCGCCCCCTCCACTTGTCACCCTGTCCATCCCTCCTCCAGACAGCCCTCCATCTTCTCCCTCCCCACCCCTAGCTAAGTAGCCTCAGGAGCAGGGCTCCAGTGGGACAGGATCTCCTCTCATCACCAGGTTTGCCTATTGTTCTAGGGGAGCCAGAGGCACCTTTGCCAATGAAAAGAGGTAGTTGTGTGCAAGAATCTGGGGTGTTAGTCCCCCAACTCAGTGACAGAAATCTTAAGCCCCCTTACCTCTCTTCTGGGGCAGAGGACAGAGGACCTTCACATCAGCAGAAGAGGCACCCCAAAGATGCACATGCTTATGTGTGGGTTTTTTCCTCCTCCCTTTCTTCCCTCCTGCACTGCCATTCCTCTGGGGCCAGCGGTTCATAATTTTAGGTCCTCTTACCAGGGCCCCACAAAACTTGCCCCAACTGCTAGCTAGTGCCTGAGATGCCACCATCAAAATTCCTTCCTTTTCCATGTGGCCAGAATCACCAGCCCCTTATACTTCCAGTTGCACGAAGAGTCTGTGAGTGGGCTCTCATACTGGGGAGGGAGGAAGAGCATAAAGAATGCAGGGCAGGTGGGGAAAAGAGGAGTGAGGAACATGCTGAGGATTTCAACAGCCTTTATAGTGGAGCCCAGTGCTCCCCACCCACCTGCCGCCATATACTCAAAGAGGGGAAGGAGAGAAGGCCTGGGCAGCAGGGTCCTACCTGTGACAGCAAGCAGGATGAGCAGCCAGAGAGGCTCCATGTCGGGTTTCCCTTGCAGAGGGCAGACACACTGGGTACCTTGTGCAAGATCTCGTCTTTCCCTTGAGTTGCAGAAAGAAGAGGGTCAGGCACATCAAGCGCTGCCCACAGGAACTGGGCTCATGGGGATTAGGAAATAGTCAGGACTGGGGTCTGGCTTTATGATTCAGAGAGGGGTTGTGGGGTGGGGGAGGAAGGGAGGGGAGGAGCCAGCCACTGCTCCCAGCAGCAGGAGGCTGTGGGTCCCAGATCTCGGAGAGGCCAGCCCGCCCTCCTGCCCGAGCCAGCCAGGGTGACCCTATGTGGCTGAGGCTGGTCAGTGTCCAAGGCACAGTCCTCACTGCTGTAGTCAGACCCCCCTCCAGCTGCAGTGCCTGCCACACTCTGGCCAGCCTTGCAAGGGATGGGGAATAGCTAGACCCTCAGCCAGCCTCTCCGGGTCCTCCCCTCCAGCAGTGGATTCCTTCCCCACTTCTGGTATGTGCAACCACCTGTCCATAACCTTTCTGAGTCTCAGTTCTTACAAATGTAAAATGGGAATAGTGATAGGTTAGGGTTATTGGAAGGGCAACATGGATTGCCACAGGCAAAGTGCTTTAGAATAGAGCCTGACGCCCATAAGCACTCAACAAATACTAATTAGTACTATTATCCTAATTAGCATGGGAGGGGAAGATGGGCTTTCCACACAAGGGAGAATTTTCTCTTCCACCTGCAATCTCCTGCCCAAGTTTATCCTCCTTTGTATAGTTGGGTGCTTCCTGTGTGCACATGCTCACACGGGGTGTTATTTTGTGCACGCACACTCCTTTGTGTGTGTCACCCCTGTGTGACAACACAGGATATGACATTTGTTGGAGTTACGGGGGTGGGGGTGTGCTTTCTCCACAGTTACAGGCCCTTGAAGGGTGATCGAGGCACAGAGACTTGCATGGGCAAAGGTGTGAAATGGCTCAGTGGTGAATCGGGGATGGGATGGGGGAGGTATGGTAGTTCCCAGGGGCAGGAAGTTGAATCTTGCTGAGGAAAGTAGCTGGAGAGGCTGGAAGAGCCCACAGGGACCCACAGATCATCAGAGTCTACTTTGCCTTGCAAATGCTTACTGATTTGTTTTTATTCATTTCTTTACCCATATATACTGTGCATCTACTATATGTATAGGGGATGTGCTTGGAGATGGGGGTTAATGATAAACATGAGACAGTCCTTCACTTAGAAAGCCAATTGCCCAGTCTTGACCTAATAACCTAGGAAAAGAAGGGTCTGAGGCCACCTGGAAATCACTCTATAGGTACACTTCTATAGTCTTTTTTTTTTATAAAGTCAGGATTATTGCCATATCATTTACAGACACAAAAATTCACCCCTTTGGGTGTCTACTTCTATGAATTTTGACATACTTATACATCTCTGTAACAACTACCACAAGCACAAAACAGAACACACTATCAGCCCCCCAAAAAACGTTCCCTCATACCCCTGCTAGCCAATCTCTTCCTCTCCAACTCAGGTCCTGGCAACCACTGATCTGCCTTCTGTTCCTACAGCTTCCTGCCCTTTTAGAATGGTCCTATTCCTGGAACCATATGATATATAGCCCCAAGTTTGGTTCCTTTCATTTATCAAAATGTATTCAACATGCATGAAATTACACTTCTTGGTAATTCATTTCTTGTTATTGCTGAATATATGTCACTGTATAGCTGAACCGCACATAGTTTATCCATTCACCAGCTGATGAACATTTGAGTGGTTTCAAGTTGGGGGCAATTATGAAAAAGGCCACCATAAACATTCATTTACATATATTTTGTGTGATCATATGCTTCATTTCCCTTGGCCAAAATCTTAGGAGTGGTTTGTACCAGGTCGTATGGTGTGTGTCTAATTTGATAAGAGCTGCCACACTGTGTTGAAAATGGCTATACCATTTTTGCATCCTTGTCAAGACTTAATATTGTCAGAGTTTGGTAAGCCATTCTAATAAGTTTGTGACGATATCTCACTATTTCATTCTATTTTCATAATAACTAACCATGTTGAACATCTTCTCATTGTTTACTTGCCACCTGCATATCGTTTTTGGCAAAGTATGAATTCACAACTTTTGTCTATTTTTTGTCATTGATTATTATTACCATTGTTACTGAGTTGTAAAAATTCTTTATATATTCAGGGCACCTGGGTGGATCAGTTGGTTAAGCATCTGCCTTTGGTTCAGGACATGATCCTGGGGTCCTGGGATTGAGTCCTGCATAGGGCTCCCTGCTTGGCAGGGTGTCAGCTTCTCCCTCTCCCTCTGCCTGCCGCTCCCCCTACTGGTTCTCTCTCTCTCTCTCTCTCTCTCTCTCTCTCTCTCTCTCTCTCTCTCAAATAAATAAATAAAAATAAAATCTTTTTTTTTAAAGAATTCTTTATATATTCTGGATACAAGTCCTTACTCAGATATATGATCTGAAAATATCATCTTCCAGTCTAGAACTTATTTTATCTTTCCCTTAACAGCATTTTTTAAAGGATAGAAGATTTTAATACTGATAGAATCCAGTGTATTGATTTTTCATTATGATTTGTGCTTTTGGTGCCCTGCTAAGAGTCTTTTTCCTTCCTCAAAGGCACAAAGATTTTCTCTTCTATTTTCTGCTAGAGGCTTTACAGCGTTAGGTTTTACATTTTGGTCTATGATCCATTTCAAGCTAATCTTTGCTTGTGCTGCAAGATATGATTTGTGGTTTGTTTGTTTGCCTCTAGATGTCCAATCGTACCAGCATTATTTACTAAGAAAACAATTCTTTCTTTTTTTAATTTATTTTTTATTGGTGTTCAATTTGCCAACATATAGAATAACACCCAGTGCTCATCCCATCAAGTGCCCCCCTCAGTGCTCGTCACCCCAGTCACCCCCACCCCCTGCCCACCTCCCTTTCTACCACCCCTTGTTCGTTTCCCAGAGTTAGGAGTCTCTCATGTTCTGTCTCCCTTTCTGATATTTCCCACTCATTTTTTTCTCCTTTCCCCTTTATTCCCTTTCACTATTTTTTATATTCTCCAAATGAATGAGACCATATAATGTTTATCCTTCTCCAATTGACTTATTTCACTCAGCATAATACCCTCCAGTTCCATCCATGTCGAAGCAAATGGTGAATTTGTCGTTTCTAATGGGAAAACAATTATTTCTGCATTGAATTGTCCTGGTCTCTTTGTCAAATATCAATTGCCATGTAGGTCTATTTCTTGACTGTCCATTCTATCCCATTGATCCAAATGTCTCTTTACACCAACACCACACCACCTGGACTACTCACTGTAACTTTATAACAAGCCCTGAAATCAGATGATGTGAGTAATCCAACTATGTTGTTCTTTTTCAAAAAGAACTTGCATTGGCTGCTCTAGTTTCTTTGCCATATAAATTTCAGAATCAGCTTGTCAATGCATTACACCACCACCCCCCCAGAAAAAAAAATTGCCTGCCAGTCCTTTGATTGGGATTACACTGAATCTGTAGCTCAGTTTTGAGGGAACCAGGCATCTTTGCACTATTGAGTCTTCCAATCCATGGACATAATTTGCTATTTATTTATTTATTTAATTATTTCTTCTATGGTTTCTCTCATGAATGTGCTTTGTGGTTTTCAGCATATGAATCTTGTGCTCATTTTATTAAATTTCCATCTAGGTATTTCCACACCTAAGTATGATTTGGCTACTATCTTAAACGTTTCTAGCTTTCTATACCTTAGACAAAAGCAGAATTCTGAAGTCTCATGAATCTTACTTTCTGGCCTGTTTATGTGCCATTCTGACCTTTACCTCACACTTCTTTCCTACCTGAGGGAAGGCTCTTTTTATTCCTCATAGCAAAGGGCAGATATCAAGAAATCTTGACTGAATCCTCACAGCACATGCATATCAAATGCTCTCATCTTTCAGGCTGTGCTAATTTGTGGTTCAATTTCCTGATCCTCATATCTGAGTATAGGAATATTTTGACATCGCCCCACTACTATGCACAGGGCTAAGTCTGTGTTTAAAGATACCTGCCTTCGGGGGATCCCTGGGTGGCGCAGAGGTTTAGCGCCTGCCTTCAGCCCAGGGTGTGATCCTGGAGACCCAGGATCGAGTCCACGTCAGGCTCCCTGCATGGAGCCTGCTTCTCCCTCTGCCTGTGTCTCTGCCTCTCTCCCTCTCTGTCTCTCATGAATAAATAAAATAAAATATTTAAAAAAAATAAAGATACCTGCCTTCAAATTTGAGCACAGATCTTTTTCCCTTTATCATTACATCTGAACCCCATCATTCGCTGCTGTGTGCATTTATTCAACCACCATGTTTGCGCTAGTCACTACACTAGAGAACTCAGGTCTCTCGGAGCCTCGAGTGTTCCTGTATATAATGGCAGCCATTGCCAGGGAAGTCCCAGGCCAGAAGCATGTCTGGGCGTGTGAAACACTCCTGATGTCTCTCTTCAGCTGAGACGTTACAGCTGCTGGACAATCCCTTTCAGAATTCCTGGAGGTTCCCTAGTGAAGTCCTTCTAGCAGCTATTCCAGGGATCACTCCCTCAAACATGGCCTTGTACTCCCCTCTGTTCCCTAGGGATAAATCAAGACTGTCCTATGTGAGCATCCTCTCCATCTTTCAGACCTTCCATTATCCTCTCACCCTTACTCAAGCCACCTGAGTGGCAGGGAAGCACCAGGTTCCAGTCAGCACCATGGCTAGAAGCAACACCTGGGCTGGGCCAGGTAGGAGGAACACCTGGCATGGGAACTGGTCTCTGAAAGCTGTAATGACTCAAACTCACTCAAGGTACACATTGACCCAAATTGGAAAAGCCCCTGCCCAGCCCTGCCTGAGAAGGGGGATGGGGAGAGTAATTGATGATGTCCACCACACCCTTGGCCAGAGCCACCAACTACAGACATCAGAACTCACAAATGTCACTTGCTGATAAGCAGCCACTTCGATTTCTCTTTTCCAGTTCCTTCTCCAGTTCTGTCCTGTTTTTACTTGTTCTCACCTTCCTGGATTCAAACCCCTGCCATAACCTCTCTCTCTCCCCTTTGACCCCTCTCATCCTTGACCTTCCTTCCCCTGCCATTCTTTGTATTTAGACCATCTGTCCCTCTCTGACACTTTCAGCTGAGGCCATTATCACATTCTTAACTTCTCATATTTTCTCTGTTGAGGATTTCAACCCCAGTCCAAGGCCAGTGCCTCCCCTCTTCAGGACGAGACACATCCCAGGGAGTGAGGGTGTATGTCCCCACGCATGTGCATGTGCTGGGATTGCTTTAGGTCACAGGCAGGCAGCAGCCGATGGGCTGCAGGATGGCAGGCCCAAAGGGAAGATCTGGACGAGAACACAGGAGCTGGGAGGCAGGGCTTCAGGCACTGCACCTGGCGCAAGCCTTCACATGGCCAAGGCAAAAGCACAGGGAATCTCACCTGCCACATAGGTGGATTGGGATGGGTCCAGACTCTGGCCAGGATTGGGGAGGTTTCCTAGCCTGCACTTTCAGGCAAAGTGTGGGGACTAGAGGCCAGGTGGGACAGAAACTAGAGCTGCAGAGTGAGGAATAATCACACTTACTTTTCCAGTTTGGGTCAATGGTGTACCCTGAGTGAGTTTGAGTCATTACAGCTTTCAGAGGCCAGTTCCCATGCCAGGTGTTCCTTCTACCTGGCCCAGCCCAGGTGTTGCTTCTAGCCATGGTGCTGACTGAAACCTAGTGCTTCCCTGCCACTCAGGTGGTTTGAGTAAGGGTGAGAGGATAATGGAAAGTCTGAAAGATGGAGAGGATGCTCACATAGGACTCTCTTGATTTATCCCTAGGGAAGAGAGAGAGGGGGGAGTTGAAGGCCATGTTTGAGGGGAGTGATCACTGGAACAGCTGCTAGTAAGTAAGGTTTTGGCTTCTTACAAATATGTGCTTAGTCCCATCTCTGTTATTTACTAGCTGTGTGGCCTTGGGTGAGTTCTAAACTCTCCAGCCTGGGTTTAGTGTCTGGGCATATAAAGCTAGGGCATGCTAAGTGCTTTAAAAAAAAGCCTAGTATTATTTTCTCTCCTCTTCCATATATTTCTTTCTAAAACCTTCCCTTCTTCTTCCCGCCTATCCCTATCTCTGAATGCCATTTTCCATTTTCAAGATGACGCTTCCCCTGCATCCTGTCTGTCTCCCTCTCCTGGATAATCCTCAGGAACTCTTTTCTCTGTTCTGGTGTCTCAGGTCCCCGCCCCCACATTTCCCTCGGTGTTTACCTGGCCACAGTCTCACCTATCCTGAAAACCCCTCCGATGTTTCTGCTCCCACATCACTTCTAGCCCTTTTATTATCATGCACTTCTTTTATGTTTTACTTTTTTACTTTTTAGGGACAACTTTGTTATTTATCTCTTCAACTGCTCATTTGAGTCTGATCACTAGAAGTCACTAATGGCCCCCCTCCTAGTCCTCCTGGCCTGGCTTTTATGCTGCCTTTGACACCCTTGATCATCCTCTACTCCTGTGCCCACCCCTGCCCCATGTTAACCCAGCTCAGTCTTGCTCTGCCCCTGGAAGGCTGTCCTCCTGGACTCCATCACCCTGGCTCCTGGCCCCCTGACTTACTGCTGGGTCTAGCTAATGGGACCTACTGGCAGGGGGTTGGCAGTTAAGAGGAGAAATAAGTTGGGGTATTTACTTTCCCCTACTCCCTCCATGTCTGCCATGGCTCAGGCAGTGACTGTTTTCTTCTGTAGCCACAACTCTGATTGGTGGTTCCTCCTCCATGGCTCCAGCTCTTGCTGGGCTCCAGTGACACAGTTCTCTCTCCTGCTCTTTCAAGTTGGTGTGTCAATAGCTCCTTGTCTTTGGATGCATCACCCCTCCTTTGGTGGTCCCCTCATCCTTGCCCACTCCTCTGTAGGAACTGGGTTAAAATGATCAGCAATTGAACCCTTTAGTGTATGCCACCTATTCCTGGAAGGGAACTTGGTCTGTAACTATTGCTTCCTGGGTATACATAATGCCTTAAAAACAAAAGAGAATTATCGGAGAATTGCAGCCTAATGAAAAGAAACAAAACAGCTCCTCCAGAGAGGAACTGAGTGGACCCCACATGGTGTCACTGTTTCCCTGTCATGCCCTGGCCTGAGTCAAGTCACAAGGCCTTCCCTCTATACCCAGAGCATGTTGGGCAATCAGAGATCAACAAGGAAATAAACCCTGAGACCAATGTACAGCTGGGTCAGCCCTTCCTGACATTATCTGACCATGAAAACCTCTTAAAAGTACTCTAAATTTTGAGAGTCTGCAGGAGCTCTGAAGTTATCATTTGTGCCTGTATTAGAGTAGAAAGCAAAAACGGTCCTAAAGACAAATTAGTTGCTGCAAAATTTGACAATTTTCCTCCATTCCTCTAACCAATTCCCCAGAGATCGTTGCTACTGATATTTTGGTGTTTGTTCATCTAGCCTTTTTGCTATGGTCACACACAGAGATGCAAACACAAAGGAGCTCATGCTAGACATATTATTTTGTGGGTTGCATTTTTCATTTAATATATCCAGAACATCTTTCCATATGGACAGATGTCTACATAATATTCCTTGGTGTGAAATATAGCATAATTTCTTTAATCATTCTTCCATTAATGGATTTTTAAATATATATATACTTTGAGATTTATTTATTTATTTGAGAGAGAGAGAGAGAGAGAGAAACATGAAGAGTGAGCATGAGCAGGGAGGAGGGGCAGAGAGAGAGAGGGAGAAGCAGGGTCCCTGATGAGTAGGAAGCCCAATGCAGGGGGGGATCCTGATTCCAGGAGACCCCCGGGATCATGACCTGAGCTGAAGGCAGAGTCTCAACTGACTGAGCCACCCAGGTGCCCCCCATTAATGGATATTAAAGAGTTTCCAAGAATTAACTCTTGCAAGTTGTGAGAAGCATAACTCATTTTTCCTTACATTAAGATGTTTAGAGAAAATATATTACTAGCATGGATTATTTTCACGTGGCACTTATCACCGTCTCTTAAAACATTAATGTTTTGTGGAGCATTGGGAAGCAAATCTAGATCTTTACTAGCTTCAGTAAGCTTCAGCTTGCAATCCCCTCCTTCTGCAGTCCCAATCACATAGCAGAACCTGCTGTTACTCACCTTCCCACCCTACATCACCAAACCATCCCCACAAACTCAAATATCTCGACCTAGAAGACAAGACCTAAAACAGCAGAGACCAAAGAGATATGGAAAATCCTCACTCCCACCCCCACCCCCACCACCCCCAGTGCAGGCCCTACTTGGTGACTTCTGAGTGTTTGGCTGAGGAGACACAACTCCTTCAGAGAAGACATTAGTGACCACCAGTGGGTAGGCTAGCTATTAAAGAGCCAGAAAGCCTGGGTGGAGGAGAGACTGAGTGGGGAGGAAGTAGGAGTGTGTGAGCCAAATGGTAGCTGCCAGCTCTTTACAGCAGGATAAATGTGGACTCATGCATTTCCTTGAAGGACAGAGTAAAGTTTCAGATTGTTTTGATTACTTTTTTTGGTGCCAGTCTGAGTTTCCTTGAATGAAGCTCCTTAAAAGACAAGATCCTCACCAAGTCTAGCTTGTGTATTTGCCATGCATATGACTGCTACAATAGGAGGGAGAACGGACTTCTTTTGAGAAATCTGGTAGGGATTCTGAGGAGAAAGAAGTTCAGGCAGAAGAGGCTGTAGAAGTTAGGAAAGGCAAGGCAAGCCAAACTTGTTTTTTTTGTCTTTTATTTATTTATTTTTTAAGGCTATCCCATTCTACAGAATAAGATTTACACTTAGGCAAAATTAAACTGAGCAGAGCACAGGGGCCAGTGTTAACTCTGGGGAATCCTGCTAGGATCTTAGGAATAAAAACAATATATTAAAATTTTAGTTTGAATGTGCCGATTCTTGCTGTGAGAGCTCAGTTACCTACAATTTCCACATTTCATTTAGCCCATTGCCAATAGATGAGGCTTGTTTTGACAACAACCTGACCAATCAGGTGATTGATATAGCTCAATCAGAGCTATATTTTTAAAAAGTGACTCAATCCAAATCTGATAATGACTAAAGTAGTTCATAACATTTTATTCTCATTTGAACTCCAGTGGAGTCAGGGATGAAGAAGTGTCCTCTTCTATTCCAAGAATGAAGTCTTCAGGTAATGTCTCGGGTGCTATCTGTGCTAACTGGTCATCATATGAACGTAGGGTCCATAATTTCTCTCATTCATAGGTTTCTCTGGTTTCTGGAAGCATCAAATGAATCACCATGCTGCCGAAGTCCATGCAGAGCCAGTCATCAGTGTCTTTCCCTTCAATCTTAACATGAGGCTCACTTTTACTTTGCAGGTATTTGTACATTTTCACAATGTAGTAGGCCATGGCATGCAAGTGTCGGGTGGAAGTTCCGCTACCAATCACAAAGTAATCTGTATATTTCAATTCTGGAGGAACCTTGATCACACAAATGTCTCTTGCATTTTCTTGCCTCAGCAGTGAAACCAGCATATCGATGTCAAACTTGGGGCCAGGATGATCTGCTGTGCCGGACTCCGGGTGCCCCTGACCCGCGGCGCCCTCCGCCCGCTCCTCCAGGCCCTGCCCGCAGTGTAGGCCGCGCGTGTGGTCCAGGCCCAGGCAGGCCCAACCAAGCGCTGGGGCCGCCGGAAGCCGCCCCAAGGCCAGCAGTCGAAGCCCGGGGAAAGGGCCCCGCACCGCAGCAGCGAGCCGGCAAGCCATACTTTTAATCCTTTGGAAGCTGCACTGGGATTCTAGGATTTAGAATTTACACTAAGAATTTTTATCACACCATGCCATCTGGGTGGCAAATGAGAGAAGGGAGAGATCACTGATGATTGCATAGGGGGTTTTATGGGCCAGGCCTGGAGGAGGCAAACTACAACTTCCAGAGCCCAGTCACTCATCAAGAAACGCTAGACTGTAATCACCTAGCTATGCTATCAGGAGGAAATAATTTGGGGAACAATTACTTAGCCTCTTTCAAGAGTCAAGACTTTGAGAAATTATTTAACCTGTCTGTGCCTCAATTTCCCCATCTTTAAAGTGATGGGGAGTACTTACCTTATAGGGATGTTTGCATCATTAGTGTATGTAGAGGAATGAGGCCCATAAGAGGCACTCCATAATTGTTGGCTTACTAGCCTTAATCACCGTATCCCCAACCCTGAGCAATGGTTGGCAGTCCGCAGACCCCTGTACATACTGTGAATTACTATAGCTCCAGGTGCTCTAGTCTGAGTAGATCCTTTGGGTTTGGACAGCTCATGAGTAACCTGACCCCTGGGATGGCTCATGGTGTTGTAGCCAGGAAACCTGAGTTGGGAAGATGATTGAAGATTGTCTCCCTCAGTGGGTATGTAGACTAAAATATAGACCAAGAGGCGCTGTCAGGATCCTAGAATGATGGAGGACCAGAGGTCAAATGAGGCCATAGGTCAGTGCCAATGGCCCTCTTGAAGCAAGGCTGGGTAGGGTAGGAGGTCAGGGTACAATGGTTGCCCAGCCTCTAGCAGTCAGGTCTGGAGAGCTGGAAGGGCAGGACAGAGACCTCAGGAGGTAAGGTGATACTCAGAGCATCCTGCTCTCCACCTCCTTCAACTCAAGGTTGTTCCTGGGTGTCCTCATGCAGCCACAGACTGGGGATAGAATCACATCCTCAACACTGGGAACCTGGAATGTCACAAGTGACAAGCGCTTACCTCACCTTCCTCCTTGAGAAATACCTCATCCTCACAGCCCAGCCTGCCAGACCTCAGACCACCTGCCCTTCTTTTCTCCAACCCCTCTCCCTTTCCGGCCATGAAGCAGCCTGACCCTCAAGTCCCATCTTGTAGGCAAAGCTGGTGTCTCACTGTGATTGATAGCAAGCTGATGACAAAAACATTCACAAACAAGCTTCTTGATCAAGAGGAGGTACATTTCCTGCCCTTGGAGATATTGAGGCAGACACTGCATGGCTCAGTGGGATTTGCAGAAGGGATCTGGCATCCCACTAGCAGCTGGATTGGGTGATCTTTAAATGTCACCCTTGAGAAGTGATGAATAGCAATTCAAGCCATCTTTCCCAAGACACCCTACCCTCCATCCCCGTGGCCTGGAGTTCCCACAGTTCAGAGTCACTCCTTGGGGGCACATAATTAAAAAAAAAAGGGCCCTGTCTCCTATAAGGGCCCTGGGGAAGTGTACTAGGGCAAAACAGGAAGTGGCCTTCAGTCTGCTCTGTTTGAGGTGCAGCTTGCAGAATAGATGATAGTTTCCATGGAAGGCAGAGGAGCCCAGGTCAGTTCTGGTGGAGTTGCTGGGGCCACTATGGGGAAGGAAGTTCCTATGCCCCACCATGACTGGCAAGGCCAAGGGCTAGGGGAGACCCTTGAGTGACAAGCACTGCCCACATCTTGTTAGGGTCATTTGTGAGAATCAAAATCAGGGGGTCAGGAAGGAGAGGAGGAGCTGGGGTGGAGAAACAGAACTTTCTAGTCTGGCTTAGAAGCCCTGAGAGATAGTTGGGGAGGGGCTTTCATGAGGAGTGTCACCAAAGAGGAACTTGCACAGTGGGTCAGGATTTCACAGCCCCTGTTTAGGAAGGAAGTGAGGATCACAGAGTGGGGAGAAGATTGTGTCACTCGGAGGCACTGGAGTCCAAATCATATCTAATTTGTCTCTGCTCCAGTGGCCCTCCTCCCGGACCCTGGGGAGAGGAGTGGGCAGGTATCTAGAGACCCCTTCTATAGGCCCCAGAGTCTGCCCATCACAGACTTCAGACTCAAAGCTTCTCCCCTCTGGAATATAAGGACTGTCCTTTCCTCCTTTTTCCTCATCTCCTTTGTAGGAAGGGGGTAACCTTTTGCTGGTTTTGAACCATCTTTGCCACACTGAAGTCCTCCCATCACTGGTGGAGCAGCCTTGTGCCTCACAGGTATTTTCTAAGTGTTCACTGCCCAGTGAAAGACTGTCTTTAGCTTTTGAACTCCCTGTCTGGGGCAGTTGACTTGGAGGGCTGGGGTCTGGCTCCAGCGATGTCGGCATATTCCACAGTCAGAAGGGGGTCAGGTATGGGCTTCAGGTTGAGTTGGATGTTGACATAGATGGAGTCCTCAGGCACAAAGTGGTTCGGGTGGGTAAGTGAGGCATAGCAGATGGCCTCAGTGTCCTCTTCAGAGCCCATATGTTGACTGGAACCCTAGAAATCAAAGAAGACAAGTGTTCACTGTACAGATCACAGCTGAGAGTGGTCAGTGGCCCCTGGGGGCTGCCCAGAGAAGAATGGAGGACAGAGACAAAGATAAGTCATGGAACAGAGTATGGATGCTGCAGAGCCTCTGAGAATGGCTAAAGTCAGCAGAGTCACCATCACTGAAGAAGTTGAAGAGTAGGCTATGGAAGACGACACAGGTGTGATCCATGGACCAATAGCATCGATATCACCTGGAAGCTTGATAAAATCTCAGACTTTCCTAAGATCTGTTAAAGCAGTCTCTGGGGCTGGGGCCAAGGAAATTCAGTTTGAACAAGTTTTCCAGGTGATTTTCATGCACACTCAAGTTCAAATAGCATTGAGCTAGAAGAGCATTTGGTAGGGATGCCACTTGCAGAGTTGATCCCAGCATTACAGAGAGTTGAACCAGATGACTTTAGATCCTTCCAGTCCTGCAATTCTGTGATCTCAAGAATCTTCATTCTTTAGACAAGACAGACTTACCCAACAGCAATGGCCTGTTCCCCAACTCCTGATGACAGAGCACCTAGGGAGCCATGTTTCCACCATGTGACCCCTTTTCCCCTAGCTGACTGGACTGGTGGCAGCCACGCCATGAAATGGGCTCCCTGCCCCCATTAACAGTTGGCCCTTAAGCTAGTGCTTAAGAGCAAAAACTAGGGCAGTCAACTTCTCTCTCTTTCCCTAAGGGATTTAAATTGGGAAATGTGGAGCAAAGGGTGCATGCAGATGAGGCAACAGGAGCATGAGGAGTCATGAGTGAGCCCAGGTCCAGAGTGAACAGAAACTAAATGTAAACACAAGCTGGGAAACTGAAAAAAAAAAAAAAAAACACTGACAAACAAGATACCCAGGAAAGCTGAGATCGCCTCTGCCTTGATGAGGGATCCTTCCCATGCACGGTGGTCTGTTCCTTCTGGACTGAGATGTTGTTGTAGATGTGGTGGGATTTGTCCTCATCTGTGAAGAAAAGAGTCCAGTTTGGGGCAGGGACCTCTCCATAGGTCCCGTTACCCTGGGAAGACAGGAGTGCTGGAGGTTCCCGCTGGGCAGAGGGGACCCTGGTGGGAGAGGGGCTGGGGCTCGGTGTGGAAATTGCACGCTGCCCCAGGGAGTATGCTGGTGGCCAGCACAGAAGGGTGTCCAGGGATCTGACATTGGTGCCAAGGAGCAAATCAGACTGGAGTCATGTGGCTAATTTGCATAAAACTGGTAAGCTGAATCAATTCCAGTCACTGAAAGTCCCAAATTTAAACATCCATTTAAGTGTAATCTATTTGTGAGGTGTCTGGGTGGCTCAGTCAGCTAAGCCTCTATCTTCAGCTCTGGTCATGATCTCAGGGTCCTGGGATCGAGCCCCAAGTCAGGCTCCCTGCTCATCAAGGAGTCTGCTTCTCCCTCTCTTCCCCACTCATTCTCTCTCTCTCTCTCTCTCTCTCTCTCTCTTTCTCTCTCTCAAATAGATAAATAAAATCTTTTTTTCTTATTTATTTATTTATTTATTTATTCATGAGAGACAGAAAGAGAGAGGGAGGCAGAAACACAGTCAGAGGGAGAAGCAGGCTCCACGCAGGGAGCCTGATGTGGGACTCAATCCCGGATGCCAGGGATCAGGCCCTGGGCTGAAGGTGGTGCTAAACCACTGAGCCACTGGGGCTGCCCCAATAAAATCTTTTTTCAAAAGTATAATCTACTTGCTGGTGATGTTATCTATAATATCTTTCAAATTTTTGGACCAGGAACCACAATGAGAAATATTTTATCTCCGCCCCCCCACACACACACACTCTTAAAGTCCAATGAAAAAGTATCCTTCCAACGTGCAAAACATTGTGACATTTGCTTTTTCCTTTCATTTTATGAAAATAGCATTGTGACCCATTAAATTGACTTTAGACACTTTGAAAAATACATGTATAAAATTTTACAACCCATTACTACTTTACGGTTTTTATAGCTTTAAAAATAAAATCAATGACGATCAACATAACACTGACTCATTTCCACATTTCAATATTGTCAACACACACATCACTGGGTTATATGGTTAATAAATACGCAGCACATATGTGCCAAACAAACCACAAACAACAACAACAACAACAAAAGAAAAACAACACAGGAATCATCAAAAGGTACTGATCTCATAAATCTTACACAAAATGCTGATGATTTTACATGTGATCAGTGCCAAAAACTTACAACTTGGACAATTAAAAAGTCCTTTAAGTCCTTTTAGGAAGACAAAATTTTAAAGCAATCGTGACCACTAAAAAACAATACTGTTGACAGAAAGATTTTTAGATAAATTTGTTTAAAAATCCTTAATTATAAGACAATGGCAAAATATAATATCCCATATGGATGCTAGAATACCCAGTTTTTGGCCATTTAGGCTTGGAAGGAGCTAGCCTTTGAGCCTCTGAAGAGAATGATCCCATGTGCTGCTCTGGCAAAGCAAGAGAACCCAGGGGATCCTGACCTCTTCACTTCACAGGTCTTAGTTTCCTTGCTGGTAAAATGAGTATGATAAGCCTTCTCTTCAGGCTCATGGGCATGAGGACATCATGGCCAAGCCCTCGCGGGTCTGCTCGGAGCCAGCCCTGGAGTTTACCTTTCCCGGAGCTTCTTCGGGCTTTCCTCAAGTACAGGATCATGAGGAAGGTGAGCACCAGCAGCAGCAGGACAGCCACCGTGGAGCTGGGAACGATGAGATGCCAGTTGCTTTGGGGGCTTTGGAATAAGGGACAACCATCCAGGTGAGGAAAGTGGGAGCCAATTTTCTGCCCAGAAGCCATCCCTCTCTCCACCCATACAGCCATGATAGACTCTCCTGCTGAGCTGGCCAGGAGGCAGCCCCATGCTCAAAGGTTCTGCCCTTTAGATCATGCATATCCAGCTACATTTGGATTTGTTTCCTCCTCTGTGAAACGGAACTGTTGACCACATCAGCTGTCTTTGCTCCTTTTCTTTTTCTGGCTGCTGTCTCCTAACTTGCCCCAGGGGTGCTTGTTGCAGCATCTGTACCCAGCCCTCCCACATCCTGCCTTTAACTATTTCTTGGTCCCGATTCCTCACCCCTACCTGTGGGATGCCCTCAGCTCTCAGGACACTGGTGTCCTGTGACCAGCCGCGCTGCCACATCACAAACAAATTTGAATAGGACCTGTTCTTACATCAAAGACAGAACACAAAGGTAGGCTCCCAGGGAAGGTGCTTAGCGTGTCAAAGGTTGAACTTTAATTTCCAGAGGCGCATCTGTAGGGACACCTCTCAGCACCATCTAGTTTCTGGGTTATAAAGCCTTGAAGCAAGGAACCAGGGTTGTGAGAGCCCTGGGCTCCCACTGCAGAGATGATGGGTGGGGAGAAGACAGGGGAGGATGGAGGCCAGAAGAAAAACAACTGTGGGGTTAGTCCCAGGGGCTGCGGCCTGGAAGCCATCAGGCAAGGGTAGAGAAGAAATCAGGCCATGGGTTATAGTAACTACAGAGTGCGACTTTTCCCTGGAATTTGGGATGAAGGAAGGCCAAGAGAAGAGTGAGGCAAATGAGGCAGCCCTGGTCATGTGCCTGGCACTGGGCCAGACCCAATCCCACTTCATCCTCACAGACACTCTGTACAATGGTAGTTCCCAACTGGGAGTGCTTGTGTCCTCCTCCGAGGCAAACTTGGCAACGTCTGGACACATTTTGGTTTGGTTGTCACAACTGGGTGGTCTGGGGGAGGTTTGCACTCTTGCTCTCTAATGGGTAGGGGCCAGGGATGCTGCCAAATACTCTACAGTGCACGGGACACCACTCACAACAAATGTTAATAGTGTCAAAGGTGAGCAACCCTGCTGTAAGGTGAGGATGTCATTGACCCCATTCTGCAGGTGAGAAAACTGAGGTTTAAAGAGGCAAAGTGACCTAAAGTGAACCATGTGACTCCCATCTCAGCCCCTCAGAACCAGGTAGCTGTGGGGCCGAGGTAGCTGGAGGTATTCAGCACAGTTGGTCATAGGTGGGAAGAAGTGGAGGGTGGAGAAGATGAGGAGGGAGGTCACAGTACCTGTCCATGACAGGGCTGGGGGCAAAGGTCCAGGCTGTGGTCCTCCCAGAGCTCCTGGTGACGGGCAGGGCTGGAGCTGTAAGAGACTGACAGTGAGGAGAGCACTCCATGTGTTTGCCCCACATTCCAGGCTCCCCACATCTAGCCCTTGGCCCTGGGGAGTAGGGGCCCTGGGGAGTAGGAGCCCACGGAGGGCCCTGGGCCAAGTGAGGACTCTGAGAAGCACCACATGCCCTGCATATGAATGACTTTTCCTCACAGTGAAGTGCTCCAGTGCAAGAGGCTTTACATTAGACTCACACTGTCACTTGCATATTGGACATATTTCTATAGTCTTTTCTATTTTCATTGTTCTTGACCATGTCATGCACTCTCAACATACAATGCTTCCCTTCCACCTCCGCCCACTTTTGTCTCTTCCGGATAAATTCCTGCTCACTCATAAGGCCTAAGTGGTTTCACTTCTTCTGGAGAGTTCTCCAGGAGAATCCATACCACTGCTTTCTTCAGCAACTGGTCCCTCCCTTCACTGGGCTGCCATCTAATGTGCTTTCATTACGCCACCTGCCATCTGCTCCTAACCCTTCCCTTATGTGTCTGCCTTGGATGCAAACGGAGGTGGAATAGGGGGAGGCTCTGTGGGCTCCTCCAGCACAGGATAGGGTATCGAGGTCTTTGATTCCCCTTACAGAGTGCAGCCCCTGCCATACATGGAGTGGACAGTGAGCCATGGCTTGTGTGGTGACTGACCAAGCAGCCAACCAGGGTCCTCCAGGCGCCCAGCTCACCGAATGGCTGAGCAGGCTTGGCAGCAGGACAGGGGTCTGGGAAGATGCCGTTCAAGCTCTGACCATCACAGGGAAACACGGGGAGGAGAGAGCTTTGCAACTCTGAGGTTTTCAGGAAAAAACACCCGGAGCTTCATTCAGGAGTAGAGCCAAGCTTCCCATCTGAGCCTTAATGTCTCTCAACTCTAAGGGGTAGGTCCAGGGAGAGGACCTGGGCTCTCTGAGCCCTTGGCCACTACACCTCCCAGGCTCACCCCCAAAGTCCGTGTCTGCCTCACCAGCTGGCTGTCTCCTGTCTGTCCACATTGCTTAACCCAACCAGTTACCTTCCTCTCAAGCACAGCCCTTTGAGAGAAGCTTAGGGGGTTAGGGTCAGGAGTCTGGATGCCCTGGGATGGCCCAGTACAGCCAGTCTTGTTCAAACCTGAGGTGGCTTTATAGTCATTACAAATCAACAGATGAGTTTTGTTAGTAGCAATAAGAATGTTCAGAGAAATGCATACTATGCTAAAGGAAGAACGAAGTGAGGCAGAGGTCTGAGCTCTTGTGCTGGATCTGCCCTTAACCAGCAGTGACTTGGGCAAGGGGTGCCAGTTTGGGCTGTGAGAGCCCTGAATAAAATTACGTAAGAATCTTTTCTAGCTCCAACATCTTGTGATTCAGGATGGCCGAGAACCACACAGAGAAGGGGAAGAACTCACCTGGAGACACCACAAGATAGATGTTTCTGTAAGTAAGGATCTCAGAGGATTTGTAGATTCCGCAGGAGTAAAATCCAGAGTCTTCTACCTTGAGCTCAGTCATGGTGACAATGAAGTAGCCCCATCTGACCCCATCCTCAATGGAGTTTCGGGGCTTCCACGGCATCCCCTGGATCCTGGGGTAGGTGGCTAGCACAGTACAAGTACGTGCTGATACCTGCCTGCACCAAGCTTTCACTGTTTTTGAGTCTTGCCAGGACTGGTACAGGCACTTCACAGAGATTGTCTCCCCTTCCAGTTTATGCAGAAACTCTGGCTTCTGTTCCCAGGAACCTGAAAATACACTCTCATGTCAGGGAGCAATTTCTCTGCCCCTGTGGGGCTGGCAGGTGGGTGCCACCTTCCTCGGAATGTGCCCAAGACCCAGCCTCTGGCCACAGTGCCCCCCTGCTCCTGACCTGCCCTCTGCATGCCTCCTTCATGCCCTCCTCACCAGACCATCTCCCCCTCCTCTTGCCCTATTCCCTCCCTCTGCCCACCTCATCACCTGAGGCCAGGAGCACCAGCAGGACTGGTGGCAGCAGGCGTGTGGCCTCCCTGGCCATGGGCCCTCTTCTTGAGCGTGGCAGAGTTAGCAGGGAAGACCTGAGGACAGGGAGCCAGGGCTGGGGCGCAGGGTTGAGTATTCAGCACAGCCACCCTGGCTTGTCAGGGAAGAAGAGCCGAGGATGGCAACGTCCTCCAGTGGGGACCCTCCCTCTGCAGGTGCTACACGTGGCCCAGTCGGCTTTCAGAGCTGAGGCTCCAGGGGACTCAGCTGCTGCTGGCTCTCTTGCCCGGCCTCCTCCTCCTTGTCGTACTGGGGTCAGGGTGTAGAAAGCTGTGAAAGCCCAGGAAGAAACTCTGGTGAAATCAGAACTCATTTCTGCTTTCTCTTTCTCCTCTTTATCCTACCACTTCCCCCTGGCCCCAACTACCTCCTCTCTACCCCAGTAAACAGCCTCCACTGAAGGTGAGTGACAGAGTTAGGGGACCCTTTAGAGGTGCCCAGAGGTCCAAGACTTCCTGCTCAGGCCTGCCAGGGAGCCAGGGAGCACTATGGGGGCTGGAGGGGCAGAGGAGAAAGGAGATGGAGAGTCATTTCCAGGAATGGAGGTGCAGAGAATGCCCCTGGCAAGGGTGGGAGAGAGTGAAGCTGGGGGCATGGGGGCGGGAGGCAGGGGAGAAGGGAGATGCAGAAAGACAAGGACAGGAGGCTGAGGGGATCTTGACGTCACTCCACATCTCCAGCTGCCAGCCTGCCACAATCCCTCCATAAAGGATTTGTTAGAGAGATCACAGTAATCAAGCACACTTTAAGGGATAACTGCCATTAGAAGAACTACAGAAAAACTATCCCCGCAGGCTGTTTCACAACCAAGAAAGGAGAAAATCCTGTAAATGCAGTGTGGCAGGTCAGGTGGGTGGGGCGCAGACTCTCAGGGGGAGATTAGCACAGGACGACAAAAATGCTTGGGGACCGAGCTGGGGGAAGAAGGACAGGAAGCAGGACAGGGTGACAGGAAGCTCAGACCAGGGTGTGCAGAGTTCTGAGGACAGGATGCTCTCCAGCATGGCAAGAGGTGTTGGGGCTTCAGATCCTGTGGCAGCCAGTCAGTGGGGTGGGGGGGGGGCGCTCCCTGGGAGGGGACTGGCTCTCTGCAGCTGCGGCAGCCCCCAGAGACCCTCACTACTCCCAGCACTGGGGCAAGCAGTCCATCTGCCTGAGAGGCAGCAGCCACCAACTGAGTTTGATGCTGAGGGAAAACCCTCCTGCAGCCATCTGGGAGAATGCCATCCTAAGGCTCGTGTCCCAGGGTGACACATCTGCCTGCCACGCTCTGCAGAGCAAACATCCCTCCGTGCTGGGTTTTATGTGTCCTTGCCCTTGGTCACAGCAGGAAGCCCTTCGCAGGTGTGGCCCGTCCTTGTCCTTCCCACAGCCAACTGCTCAGGAAGCTTTGTCGCCTCGCCTTCCCCAGTAAAGGCAGCAGCAGCCCTGGCCCCTGTGACACCCCCACCTGCCCTGCCCCTCCCAGCCCTGGATGGGTTGGAGATCTGGGTCCTCCTGAGGCTCCAGGGAGAGGAGAACAAGACGGAGAACAAGAAGGAGAAAACGAGAGGCTGAGGCTTTCAGGGAAATGTCCCAGAGCACTGGAGGTCCCAAGAGGCCACCCAGGCCATCAGAGCTGGAGAGCTGGGGCAGGGGGTGTGGGCGCCCTGCGTCCTCGCTGTGGAGCTCACGTGGGAGCAGGTTCCGTGGGTGGGCACCTCATGCAGGCTCACTGCGCTCCAGGAGCCCCTCATCCTGGGCAAACAGGGATGGTAGGTCCCCTAACAGCTTCCCTGCCTGGCATCAGGGCACAGCCAACAGGGTGTGTTGGCTGCCCAGGTCCAGCACCCAGCACCTGGGGCCTGGGTGGGTGCCCCGCTGCCCTCCCTACCCCTTTCCAATTGAGGGCAAAGCAGAGACATAGGTTCCAAAGGCCTTCAACGTGGACAACGCGTCCTAGAGCTGGAGCCGGAGGACCAGCAATCACGAGGCATTTACTCAGTTGTGAGAGGTTTGTGTCATGTCATTTTATCCTGAAAGCAGTCTTGAGAGGTAGGAGTTAGTGTTCGCCTTTTACAAGAGAGGAAGGTGATACCCGAGGGCCAGTGACTGGCTCAGGGTCACGCAGGGACAGGTGGCCTCGCTGGGTCCCCGTCCTGAGCCCTCTGCCGCTCTCCCACAAGACATCCTGTTCTCAGATGAGGAAGGGCTGTCAGTGTGCTGTTGTAGGATCTGGGGAGGGGGGGGTCTTGGGGAGCTTTATTCCCCTGGGGAAATTCAGCCCCCTCCTGGTTACACACCAAGGTCGTGGCCACACCCTCCCTATAGGGAGGATGGCTATCACTGTGTGTGTGTGTGTGTGTGTGTGTGTGTGTGTGTGTGTGTGTGTGTGTGTGTGTTGGCACGAGGCTTGTCAGTTCCTCAGTCTGAGTGTCCTCTGGTGCCCTCTCCTGGACGGAGGAAAAAGGTGCCTCCTCCCTGCTGTCCCCCAGGATCCCAAGATTACCTCCTGCCTCTTCCTCTCTCGCTACATCCATTCTGGGGGCAGCTACCCATCAAAGCTCCAGCTGCGTCATTCTCTTGACTACGAGAATGCTCTTCCCGTGTGAGAGGCCCCTGCCCCTGGGTGGAGAGTGGAGACGTCACGATCCCTAGGTGCTTATTCCAGTTGCCCTAGGCTGCTGGAGCCCCTGCTCTAGAGGACGAATCCAGTCTGTATTCTTCAGTCCTCACTATAGAAGAGGCCGATTCTGAGCCAGGAGCCAGTGAAGCAGAGGCCAGGCCCCTTCAGCCATTGGAGCACCCCACTCCCACCCTGGCCCTGCCCCCACCAAGGCGTCCCTCCAGACTGTACTCTGCTCCAAGCTGTCCTTGCTGTGTCACAAGTAGCTCCTCTCTTCCCAGGGGACAATGAGTCCCCAGGGGAAGGTAGGTGATCTACTATTTCTCTGAGCAGTGGCCTCCCCTGCGGTGGACTCTGGAGGGCCCTCAGTCTCCTGTGGGGGAGGGAGCTCAGGTCTGGAGTTGGGATCCAGGGGAGACAGTTCTGAGTGCAGCCTCTGCATGCCAGTCTGGGGACAGGCTGGTCCTGCAGCCAAGGGCTCTGGGCAGCCTGGTCGCAAGCTTTCCCTGAAGGGCCAGCCAGCAGGTGGCAGCAGTGGGAGGCTGGGCTCCGCTGGCTCCCAGGACTTGAGGGACCGGCAGCTGCGGTCAGGGCAGGGCACCTCCAGAGGCCCATCAGGGGACGCATAGCCCCGAGCGTGAGGGACTTGGACCACTCTGGGGTCCTCAGCTGCCAACACCCCATGGACCTCCAGCATCAAGTTGCTATTCCTTCTTCTCCAGGGCAAGGCCTTTGAAACACTGGCTGCCTCTGGGGCTTTTTTCCCCCCAAGCACATGGGGAAGCTTGAGGGAGCAGAGGGTTGCTGAGGACACAGGGTTCCAGATGGGGAGAGGGCAGCTGTCCACCAGTCCACTTTCCTCTGCTCCATTGCAAGGGGTCCTGAGGCCCACGGGCCGTGAGCTCCCTGTCTGGGTACAGCACCGTCAGGGCTTCTCTGCCACCAGCTGGGGCCCAGGACTCTGTGGCTCTGAGCAGAATCCCCTTGGTGGCTTCCCCTGGGGCTTCCGTCCCAGGTTCTCGGCAGCCCAGGGGGACTGAGCAGGTGAAGAGCAGCCTCTCGTTCTGGAGAGGCCTGAGTCCGGCCTTGAGCAAGTCCTCAGCCCCCAGCCTGGCTCTAGTTCAGACCGGTTCCCAGCTCCATCCTCCTCTGGTCTCCAAAGGCCCCTCCAGGAAGAGTTCCCCCACTCCACAGTTAAGTGGCCTCAGATCACACAGGCTTCCACGGAGGCTCTGGTCTTCCAAGTGGGTCCCTCCAGGGTCTAGTGGGATCATTGCACACCCTGTAGCCTGTGAGAACAAGGAGAGAGATGAAAAGGGACAGGGCTCCAGCTCTCTTCTCCCTGCCCCCCATGCTCCTGGGCCAGTCTATCCCCTCTTTCGGTTCTGCCCTCTGCTTCCTGCTAGTTCAGCCCCAGAGGGGTCATGCGGCGCCGCTCCAGCCTGCCCACCCTCCTCCCTCGCCTGGATGCCAAGTAGTCCTTCTGGCTGGACGCAGGTAAGGACACACCACCTGGGGTCAGAGTGCACCCAGGCCCTTTGGAAAGTGTGTCAAGCCCCAGTGCTCTGCCCTCAGGAGGCTGGGAGGGTGGGCTGTACTCACTTCCCATGTGTCTCTTCTTCCAGAACCCATAGACCACGATCAACATCACAGACACTAGGAGGAAGATCAGTATTCCCAGGTACACAGTGGGATGTGAATCCTGGTGCCTGAGGGGACGGGACAGAGTGGGGAGGAGGTGAGCACCCAGTTGCCCTCACCTGGACCCATGTTTTTCTGCATGCCATGTGAGAGGAGCCAGACTGAGAGAAAATCTGATGGCCCTGGTGGGAATGATTGGCTCCCTTCCTTGGGGAGCCAGCTATGGCAGGAGGAAGTGACGGGTTCAGAGGTCAGGGGAAGAAGTCCCAGGTGGAGGTGAGCATCTCTCCACTTTAGCGCCTGTCCTCCATTGTTCCTACAAACCTGAACATCCCTGAGGACAAGGACTCTAAGGGACCCCATTTGTGACGGAAAAGATTGAGAGTCTTGTTCTTCTCATAGTGAGAGCCTCTTCCTGCGGCCCTTCCCTCCTTCATCCTCTGAAGCAGATGCGGCAGGTGCATGGCCTGTATCCCCTTGCCTGTAGCACTTCATGTGCGCCAGCCCTTGGCACTTCCATTTAAATTTTCAGCCTGAAGACTTTCTCCTTTTATTAGGTCCCTCTTTGCCACCCATGGCAGGCAGCCCTCCACTGATGACCAATAGGAGTAGTGTCGGTGTAGGAGTCAGTGTATTAATACCCCAGCTTCCTTGCCCTTCAGGTGGTCATCTGATGTTGGGCCCGAGAGCCTCCCCTGCACTTGAGCTCCGCTGCTCACAGTGGTGGCCAGCGTGATTTGGTTCTCTCCCAGCTGCTTCCCTGTCTCACTTCCCTATGCTCTTTCCACACTCTTGGTCCTAGAGGCTGCTTCTAGGGGAGCCCAAATTAAAGAATCTCCTATTTCCCACTTCCTACCCCCAGCCACATCCTTATCCTGCCCCTACCTTCTCCCCTCCATCCAGACTCTTACGCTGACCCGTTCCCAACCCTCACTTCCCCCTGGCATCCTTTATGTCACATCTCCATCCTGGCTTCTGGCCTCCCACCCAGCTCTCATTCAGCAGCACACCAGACCGACTTCCTGAAAAGGAAAGGTCTGCAATAACATTTGCTTGCACCTTGAGGTCTGTTCAGGCACCAAGAACTGTTGCTGTATCTGTTCAAATGTCCTCCAAGCCCAGAAAACACAGGTACCTGATAGGGGATAACTTGTTGAGGAGAGCCCCGCTGGTATGGCACACTTCTGTGGTGGGTGATCCGGTGCGCAGGTGCCCAGCCCTGGTGGATATGGATGCTGGGCCAGCAGAGGAGGCTCTGGCATCGCTGGGAGACACAGTCACTGTCTGGGACCCCATGGTCCTCCTGGGCCCCGCGGTAGAAGGGCCAGTGCTGGTGAAGCTGTAGTCTGTCACGGAGGTCAGTCTGATGGACTCTGAGGCAGTGGGGGACACGAGTCTGGTCAAGGTGAGGAGATCAGGTGTGAACATTGTCATGCTGGTGGTGAATGGGGCATCAGGGCCTGAGGTAGGGGTTGGGCCCGATGTGACAACAATTCCACTCTTGAGGATACTGGCCAGATGTGCAAGAGGAGTGCTTCTCTTGGTGGTAGAAGCTAAGGGGCCAGAAAGGGAGAAACGTTAGCCTGAGTCAGAGGCCTCGCCGATAGAAGCAGATCCTCGTCTCCCCTCATTGACCTTGGACCCAGGATTCTGCTCTGCTATGTGACCAGATGTACGTTTGTTGGGGAGAAGAAGTGGAAACAGTAAAGAAGGAAGAGTCTCTCACAGTTTCTTTAGCCTGCCCTGTCAGGACTCTCCCCTCCCCATACCCATCTCTCTCATTGCTTCCAGACCCTCCTCATTCCAGGGGGCCAAAGAGATTTCTTCACTATGATGTTGAACAGAGACTTTTCTAGGAGCTCCATAATTGGTGACTAGGGTCCAGAAATGAGGGCAAGGAAGCCTTGATGGCCCATGTTCCAAAGAATGCCTCCAGCAGCAGGGTCAGATGCCCTCCTTAGGAGCTTATGAAGGGACACCTGCTCCCCTCATCCATCCTCTCAGCCTTCTACCTCCCATTTTCTAGGAGGCTGGCATTTGGATGGTGGAGGAGTAGGGAGCTATAGGAAGCATGTGGTCCCTTGTGGAGCAGTGTGGTGGAGTCTATCTCCATAGAAAACAAGAGATGGGAGAAACTCCTTGAGGAAGAGAGAGGGCTGACACGGGAGGCTTCATCCCATGACTGTGCATGGCAAAGGCACATTCCTGAGAGCCAAATGGCCACCATGGAAAGTGCCCATCTTTCTGGGCAAGGGAACCCAGAATGAGCAGCATTGGTGAGAGTAGGGAAAGGGGAAGAGGCTGACCTGGAGCCAGATCTCCCACATCATCCTACTCAGCAGTGGGGAGACTCCAAAGACCCTTCAGAGAACTCACATGCAGGTGCCTTGGGAGAGCAACATGTGGACACCCACCTCACAAACGGCTGGGTAGAAAAGAGCCGAACAGAGAAAGGACTACTACGGGGTGGGAGCGCAGTGAAGTCACACAACGACCTCCCTTCCTTCATTCTTGCCTTGGTACTCCAGGACGTTGGGAGAAGAAGGCAGGGAGAAGTAGCTGAGAAGAACCCCACTTTCCCACCTGCTGAGATGAAGGAGAGGGAGTTAGGCCAAGGCTACCCTCTTCCTCACTCTGGTGGCTTGGGCCATAACATGTGGTCTTCAAGAAGGAGTAGAAGAAGTGGGGCACCTGGTTGACTCAGAAGTTAAACATCTGCCTTTGGCTCAGGGCATGATCCCAGGATCCTGAGATTGAGTTCTGCATCAGGTTCCCCGGAGGGAGCCTGCTTCTCCCTCTGCCTATGTCTCTGCCTCTCTCTCTCTCTGCATTTCTCATGAATAAATAAATACAATCTTTTTTTTAAAGGAGTAGAAGAACATATATTGCTAGAAGATTCGAGGTTTTAAATGGGTTGAGGATTTTTGTTTATTATTTCCTAATAATTTCAATTATCCTAATAATTGAATAGGTCTGCAAAGTTAGAATCTCCTCAAATGGTCTTTAAAAGGTAGATTGGGTGTGGGGGAGATATGCAAAAAGAAAATGAAACCATTTCATGTTTCCTGCAAATTAAGACTTCAATACACTTGTTTTCAACTATTCTCTGGATCTGAAGCAGAAGTGGAGAGGGGGACTGAGATTTGGCCCCATGTCTTAGAGATAGCAGTTGCCCTCACTCAGTCACAACAGAAGAGGGGGATGCAGGTGGGTCAGGTGCGTAACGAATGTCATCATCATTGGCTGCTTTTTTCAGGTTCTCTTGCTGGTGGGAGGACCTCAGGGCTTGGCCCTTCTCTCTTTTTCTACACTCAAGGGAGAACTTTTACATCCCCTTGATTTTTCTTATCAACAGCTTTAGTGAGATATTATTCACATTCTATATACCACACCCATTTGTAGCAACAAGTTCAATGGCTTTTAGTATATTCACAGTCATGCAACCACCACCACAGTCAACTTTAGAATATTCGCATCATCTCCAAAAGAAACCCCTACCCTTTAGCTATTACCTTCTACCTTCCCCTTCCTTCCCCCAGCCCTAAGCAACAATGAATCTGCTTTCTGTCTATATAGATTTCTCAAATCCCCTAGACTTTCAACTCTCTTCACAGAGATACTTCCAAATTTATCCCCAGCTCTGACCTCTCACCTGAGCTCCAAGCTGATATATCCACTGCCTGCCCCTTTTGCCCACTTGGGGTTCTAGGAGGTGTCTTAAACTCAACATGACAAAATACAGCTCTTGGCTTTTCTCCTCCAAACTAGCTCCTCCCCAGAGTCACCTGACCCAATAAATGATACTATCAGGCCCCTTGCTGATGGAATAGAAAACCTCAGAGTCACTCTTGATTTCTCCCTTTTGCTCCCCTCTTGTCTTACCTACAAAGTGTACAGGGTGGGCAGGAAGCCCAAACATCATAGGTTGGAACCCCTCCACCTCTTTCCACCTCCAGAGGCCATGTCCTACTCCAAGACATTGTCATTCTCAGCCAGAATGTGGACAGTAGTCTCTCTGTCCATCTCTTACCCTTCCACCATCCATCCTCCACAGAGCAACCATTATAATCTTAGAGGCAAACCACAACACACCCCTGTAAACTCTCCAATAGCTTCCTATTGTACTTAGAATAAAACTCAAACTCCACATCATAGACTTTAGGGCTGCTGTTTGACTCTCCAACCTCATCTCCTGCCACTCTGCCCCACACTCAATATGGAGTAGCCACACAGGCATGTCTTATACAGGCCCAGCCCTTTCTCACCTCAGAGCCTTTGCACATGTAGTTCTCCCCACCTAGAATACCCTCCGAAGCACTCACATTTCAATAGGACTAGAGACCTCTCCTCACATGGGCTCTGCTTGATGTCATCTGCTCAGAGAGGTCCTCTCAGGTCTCTGGTGCTTTAATAGCTCCCTCCACCACTAGAAAGTAGAGTTACTTTCTAATTTGTCACACTGTCTGATTTTAAGAACATTTATCGTTATCTACAATTATTTGTCTGATGATGTATGACAGCCTGTCATCTCTCATCTTTTTAGATCTCATTTTCTTCATTGGTAAAATGGACAGTAATGCCCATGAAGATGTCAGTAAAAGAACTGGATGGCGCCTGGGTGGTTCAGTGGTTGAGAGTCTGCCTTTGGCTCAGGTAGTGATCCCGAGGTCCTAGGATAAGGTCCCGCATCAGGCTCCCTGTGGGGAACCTGCTTCTCCCTCTGCCTGTGTCTCTGTCTCTCTCTGTGTGTCTCTCATGAATAATCAAACAAATAAATAAAATCTTTAAAAAAATAAAAAAGGAACTGTGAAAACCCTGTAGCACAACATGCCTGTTGATGGATTATTCTTCTTACTATATCTGCTGCGAATGAAGTATGGGGCAGGGAAGACACCCTTACCCTCCCAGTTCCCTGGAAGGCCTGCTTACCTGGAGACACTTCCAGCTGGAAGCCCATCATTGGGTACAGGGTCCCAGAGCTGTTGCGCATGCACCAGTAGCGGCCAGAGTCCTGGCGCCTGAGGGCTGCCATGGTGATCTTGACCACCTTGGCCTTGGTGTCATCCTGTAGCACGTAGCGCGGCCCCTGCGCCCAGACCCGGGTGAATCCAGGCTCACACTTCTTCTTCCTGATTTTGCACCATACTCTGCCCTCCACGTGGTTTTTGCGGCTCTTGTAGGAACACTGCACAGACAAGGTCTCCCCTTCAAAGTGCTTTACTTTTGTGTACACGTTCTCGGCAGGGGCACCTGAGGAGATACTACTGGTGAGCAAGGTCTGGTAAGAGAGGGGAAGGAGGCATCTTGAAGGTTGAGGTGAGGGGAGAGGAGGTGGATACTGCCCTGCTGTCATGGATCTCACAGCTTCAGGGAGAAACACAGCCCTACTCTGAAAGAACTCCCTCCCCTCCCCTCCGCCTCATCCAATAGAGGGCATGCACAGGCCCTGCTAAAAGCTAATTCCCAGTCTGAGGGGGGAGACACAGGCCACCCCCTCAGGGAGCTCTCAGTCTATTGGAGTAGACAGTAGCCCTGCCCTCTAGAAGTTCCGAAACTGCTGAGGAAGACAATAATCCTGTGCCCTTGGGGAGTTCTAGGATGAGATATAGAACTAGCCCTCAGGAAACTCTCAGACTGATGGTAGAGACACACCGGCACAGCCCTCAGGGATTCCCTAGGCTAATGGAAGAAACTCAGCCCTTACACTGAGGGAACTCCAATGGACAGAGCCCCTTTTTCCATGATATTTTTCTACCCCAATGGGAAAGTAATAGCCCCATTTTCAGGGTCTTATGGGAAAGACCCAGGTCTTATCTTCAGTGAGCTAGACACACAAATGCAAACAGAAGTCACAAAGTCATAAAATTCCAGACCACAAGCAACTTTGATAGATAAGAAAATCCAATATTTGAAAAAATTAAGAGCAGTTATTTATTTCACAAATAAGTTCATTATAGTTATCTTTTAAATAGGAACTTGTCATAGTTCATTTTAGGTGCTATTTCATTTGAAAACATTCTAGTTGCATAAAACCCATAGATTAAAAATGCCCAAACATACATCTAAATCCCCAATGGAGTGCAGACCCAAAGAATTGTACAATTATTCACTGTTCATCCACAGCCTGTTACAGTCTATGCCTAGAAATAAGATGTGGTCCGTGCATTTCACAATCCACAGCCTGGCAGGGAGAGAGTAGAACTAGGGGTGGGGGTGGGGACTCAGGGGACAGCGAGAGGGACAAAGTTATGATGGGCTCCCTCCACTCCTCTGCGCACCATAAGCTCAGCATTTATTCCTCTCACACCACCCAGAGCCTGCTGTAAACACACACACACACACACACACACACACACACACACACACACACAGAGAGAGAGATTTCTTCCCAGCAGTACAGGGTAGAGAACACACATTTTGGAGTCTAAGTGACTATGGGTTAAAACCCTGGTTCTACTATCAACTAATTGTGTGAGTCGATCCCATAAGTCTCTGTTTCTTCATCTGTCTCAGGCTGTGGGAAATGTGTCCCAGGACAGTGTCTGAAATGTAGCTGGTGCTCCACGTGCTTCCTGCCTCAAATGCAGGTTCCTTCAGACTTCTCCAGCTGAGCCCAGAGCTCTGATAGCCAAGGACCCTGCACTTGAGAGGAGACATCTGCCTGCTTCCAACCCAGCTGCACTATAGCTGAGGCTCGGGGTAAGATAGCACCCTCTCTGAGCATCCCTTTGTCCCGCACAAACCAAATACAATGATCCAACTCAGTTATTTGGTGAGTGGGAAGCTTGGGGGACCCCTGGATTGCTCTACACAGGAGACACACTTCTGCCCTGGCAGAGGGAGGAACCTCTCTAGGGGAAGTACAGGGGTGGGGTGCCCCAGGAAAGGGTCTCCTGGGTATTGTGTTCATTTTGTGCTCACCTTCCACCCTTCTCAGAGGCAGTAGCCAGAACTGAACAGGAAATGGTAACTTGGTAACCATTGCAGTAAGGGAGGCAGGATTGGGTGAGGCTCCCTCAAGGAGCATTTAGTAGCTATGGGGTGGGTGAGGGGCCTTCAAGGATTGTTTCCCCTCAGGACAGGGGGATGGGGACAGGGGGTAGTGGCACAAGCAACTCAACCAGTTAAAACATACACACACGTGATGCAATGATTCTTATAAGAACCAAAGAGGGCTTTCTCGACAAGAGAAGGAGGCTTTTTGCGTGAGTGTCCATGGTCAGGGGTCCTAAGGAAGCCTGGCAGATGAAGGGGCCCAACCAGAGAGGGTCCAGAGCTTTATCTTATTTTGTGAGTCCTGTATTAGCTTTACCTGGGGCCAGATAGTGGGATGCAATCTTCTTACTGTTCTCTGGTTAGAAGCCACTAGGTCAGCCCTCTGACCCCTCTTCCAACCCCACAATGCATGAAACAAGATTACTGGGCAAGGAAAAGCCTGTAGGGAGACTCCAGAAAAAGGGCCATTCCCTACCCCCTGAGCCAGCTCCCCTGCCCTCTCACCTGAGACATGGCTCTGGAGCCACAGCAGCAGCAGCAGCAGCAGGAACATGGGAGCCATGGCTCCATCCAGTTGGGGACGGTCACAGGCCAGCAGGGGGCCAGGCCACCCGCATCCAGGGTCTGGGCCCCACGCCAATGCAGGACGTGCCACTTGGGTCTGCCAGGGAAGGACCTGGCGTTCTGAAAGTGCAGTTGCCCATTTAGGGAAGTGAGGAAGTTGTGGGACCTACTACGATCGCAGACCGCAGGGCCCGCGGAGCCTGCGGAGGAGGGCGGCGCTCGCTGCTGTTTACGCCCTCTTCCCCGAAACTTCGGGCAGGTGTGGCTGCTCCACCCAGCCTGCCCCCACACCCCACCCCCAGCCCGAGGAGGGCTCTCAGGGTAGAAGACTCCCCACCTTCTCCAAACGTCTCCTGGAAACTGGCCCATGGGGGGGACCTCCTACTCTGAAACAAGGGGTCCGTCTAGGGGGGCTGGGGTGAGTTTTCTGGACCCTCAGCAACAGACTCCCTGGGATCCCCTGGGCTCAGAGGTCCAGGGGTAGGGCTTGGGGTTGGGGCAGGGCACCTCGGATCCTAGTTTCACCAACACACATTTCCGAGGAAGTTCTCGCAAACTCCATCCATTCATTCGCTCAGCCCTCCCGCGATGCGCTCCTTCCCTTGCCCTGCCTCCCTGGCCAAGGTCCTGGCTGGTGACAGCAGCCCCTGTCGCTCCCGCTGGCAAAGAGCCCCTTCCGTGCTCACACGCGATCCTATTTCCGTCACGGCTAGAATTACAGGGAGAAAAGAGGCAAATTGTTAAGTCTCAGAGCATACGGTTTGGGCGCCGGGAGGGGCTTCTGTGCTGTCACACGTGGGCGCGCGCGCACACACACACACACACACACACACACACACACACACACACACCCAAACTGTCTCTCCCTTTGACTACTCCCTTGTCTCCTTATCTTTCTCCCTCTCTCCCATTCTCTTACCAACCCCTCTAATCACCCACCAGCTCTCCCCCCTCGGTCACGGAGGCTCCCCCTCCCCGCGCTCCAGGAGCCACGCCCCCAGCCCCCCAGCCCAGGCCTGGCCCCCAGCCGGCGCGCATGCCCACTCCACTTCCTCTCACTCCACCCTATCTCGCCCAGACAGCCGCAGGGTTGCAGCCAAAATGACCCAGCATTTGGCCCAAGACCCCACCCTCTACTCTGTCCTGAGCTCTAAGACTCAGAAGGATAGACTCCTGGCATCCAGGAGCCATGTCATCTGTTCCTTTGGGGTCGGTGGAACCTACATGACTATGTGCTCCCTGTGCCAACTCACCTGTGCCACCTTTCTTCTCCTTAGGACTCACAGTAACAAGTCTCCAACTAGGCTTGAACTCCCAAATCCCAAACCAAGGAAGTTTGATCTTTGCTGAGTCCAAACTTGCAGTCTCTCTTTATTTATTTATTTATTTATTTATTTATTTATTTATTTATTTATTTATTTATTTATGATAGTCATACAGAGAGAGAGAGAGAGAGAGAGAGAGAGAGGCAGAGACACAGGCAGAGGGAGAAGCAGGCTCCATGCACCGGGAGCCTGACGTGGGATTCGATCCCGGGTCTCCAGGATCGCGCCCTGGGCCAAAGGCAGGCGCCAAACCGCTGCGCCACCCAGGGATCCCCAAACTTGCAGTCTCTTAACTTATTCTCCATTCATTCTTTCATTCGTTCGTTCGGTCCGTCGATCGATCGTTAGTCTTTACAATCTTATGTGCCACGCGAGGTGCCAGGCATTTGGGGTAGAGGCATGAGCTACAGTTGTCATTTCAGACCTCTCAACTCCCAGAAGACGTGTTACACTTTCCCTATTCACCCAGATGCCTGTGTTCGAAGGCTCTCTGCCCTCCCAACATGAGAAGTCTTCTTTCCTTCCTTTCCTCCATGCCAGGGATTAAGTGGCTTCTAGAGTGGAGGGTCCCATTTACACCTTGTGGGGGGTCTTATTGCCTGGAATCAGAGCGATAGCTGTGAGGATAAGGCCATAAGAACCCCAACACTCTCATTCCACTGAGAGGAAGTATAAACTGGATTCAATGTTACTTGAGGGAAATTTGGAAGGATTTATCAAAAATCTCTAAAATGTGTATACATTAGGCTTTTATGTACAAGATGATTTAACACAGCACAATATTTTTTCTTTACATTTATTTTCCCATTAAAAAACTGAGGTTTAGGGGTGCCTGGGTGGCTTAGTCAGTTAAGCATCTGCTTTCCACTGGGGTCATGATCCCAAGGTCCTGGTATCAATCCCCATATGGAGCTCCCTCCTTAGTGGGGAATCTGCTTCCCCCCTCTGCGTCTCCCCCTCTCCATGCTCTCTCTCTCTCTCAAAAGTAAATAAATAAAATCTTAAAAAAAAAGAACCAAAGACAAAACAAAACAAAAATACCCCACTGAGGTCTAACTTACATAAAGTAAAATTCCCCTTTCCACAAAGAAAACTCCAGGCTCAATTTTCTTCAATTTCTTTGGTGAGCTGCACCAAATACTTAAGATGGGATAACACCCACCGATGTTACAGAAACTGTTGCAGGCAGAAAAGGAGACATATCCCAACTTGATTTGTAAAGTCAGAATATCTCTGTTGTTGTTGTTTTTAAAATTTCATTTATTTATTCATGAGAGACACACACAGAGAAAGAGAGGCAGAGACACAGGCAGAGGGAGAAGCAGGCTCCATGCAAGGTGCCGGACGTGGGACCCGATCCCGGGTCGCCAGGACCACGACCTGGGTGGCAGGCGGTGCTAAACCGCTGAGCCACCCAGGCTGCCCCAGAATATCTTTGACACTAACACCTGACAAGGATTTTACAGGAACAGAGAAGTACAGATGTGTATGCCTTATGCACATAAGATAGAAACATCTTTAATCAACTATAAGCAGATCAAAACCATCAATGTATGTAATAACATAAAACAATATGGCCAAGTGGGGATTATCTCAGGAATGTAATCTATGTTCAACATTTGAAAATCAGTCAACCTAATTCACCGTGTCACCAGAAAAAAAGGATTATCTCAGTAGATGCAGAAAAAAGCACTACTTCTCCCACTACCACCACCAATTCATAATTTAAAACTTTCAGCAAAGCAACAATAGAAGAGAATGTCCTGGCCTTAATAAGGGACATTCATCAAAACCTACCTCTAACATTTTATTTATGGCAAATACGTCGGCTACATTTCCCTTAAGATTGTTCATGGTAGATGTAGGTTGAGAGCTCAATGCCCTGGCCTTGCTAGATGTTCAGTGTTCTGGATATGATTCTGGGTTTTTCTTGTTTTATGGATGTGATATCTTCTTCTGTTCCCTGAAACATTTATCTTTCACTCACAGGCAATTATTCTGTTTGCTCAATATGATTTTCTCTTAGGCTATGAATTTCCTCACGTATAGTGCAGACAGAATGATAGATTGTGGTTATCACATCTTATTTGTGGACAAAGCATTTTGGAATAATTGTCTTCTGCTCACATTTTGAGCTGCCAAGGCATCTGCTTTTGCCATTGTTAGTTGCATTTGATTTTTTAAAACTTGTATGAATTCCTCAGTTTCTGGTCTGCTGATTATAACCTTTCTTATTTTCAATTTAACAATTTATGTTGGAGTCTTTTACTTTTTAAGGTATTCAAGATGGGGAGGAGAGGATAGCTGGTGAGATTCGTGTGCTACCTTGCTCAGTTTACCCCTGCATATTTCAGTTCAAGGGTTTGCATTTGAGCACAAGAGAACATACATGTCTTCTGCTTGGTAAGTTTTCCTATAGAGTTATTTGTTGAACAGAATTCCTCAATTTTGATGTAATAAAATTAATTTTTTTGCCTTATGATTTGTGCCTTTAAAACTTTGTGTAATAAATGCTTCTTGATTCCTAGGTATTCATCTGCAGAGGTTTTTTTCTATTAATTTAATAATTCTATTTTTCACATATATGTCTTGAATTCATCTGGAGTTAATCTTTGTATTTAATATTAGGCGAGATCCAGTATTTTTGGTTGTTTTATTTTTTAATATACTCTGCCAGTTTTCTCAAGGATGTCTACCAAATAATGGGCTCTTTGCCCCATTTATTCATGGTGCTTCCTTAATGTAAATGCAGAGAAACCTTCCATGGTCAGTCTGGAGGAGCTAGGGACTGGGAGGCGGGTCTTGGAATGTTCAGTACTGGGATGAAGGGTCACCACAGATGAATGGGAGCTGGAAGTTGTCTCAAGAAGACTTTTTTCACAGGGCTGTGGTGTGAGTGGTTTGGGGGGGAGGGCTCCCAATAGCTGGGCAGGGGTAAAAGAATGGGTACTCATCTGGGATCCATGGAGGATATTAAATGCACCCAAGAGTCCTGAGACCCAGGCTGGTCTGACACAATCAGAAACCCCCATCACTGCTGCCCCTACAGTATCCTTATCACCCTGAGGAGGGAAGATAAGGAGGAAATTCATAAATGGAGGTGAATTCTTTCCCTGCCCCTTCCTCCTATCCTAACCCTGTTACTGGGTCCTCCTCTCCTCCTCCCTTCCTTTTACCTACTTCCAGCTACCCCTTCCTTTCTGCTAAAAGCCTAGCTCCAGAAAGAGATAAGGATCAGAGTTCAGTGGGGTGGTAGGGATAGAGCCAGAGGAGTAGGAACAATCCCACCAGGTCAGAAAGGACAGGGCCATCAGGCTGAACTGAAGATACTGAGGTCCTAAAAGAAGAGCAGATTTGTTGAGGTGATGGGGGTGGGAGAAGTAGTAGGGAGAAAGCCTCAGAATCAGAGCTAGACATACCAGGAGCGAGGACCACACAGAGGGGCCCAGCGAGGGCTCTCAAGAGCCTGCCTGGGTCTTTGCCCTATCTGTGCTGCTAAGTGCTGGGTGACAGTTTCTGGCCAGCGCCATGGGATCTCTGGGCCTCCTTTCCTCAGTTGTGATATCTTGGATAGTCTCTGAGAGCCTTTAGGCTCTGAATTCCAGAAGGTTCCTCCTCATGACTGTGTGGCTGTCAGGGAGGGAGGAATAATGTCTATTTTGCAACGGAGTTCCTATGTATCATATCC